AAATTACCCGTAATGTACCTGTTAGTCTGGAAAACAAATGGACCTGTGAATGAATTTTGGTTCTAGTTACAAATGCCTCTGTATGGAAACAATGATGAATCATCTTTCTTCAAAATGCAATATTTTGTAATTTTCTGACTCAGGAAATTCAAACATACGATTTGCTGACACACATTAGTTGACAACGAGAGGGAAACATCACAGCCGGAGTCAAGCAAAGATTCCATCAGAACCACAGGAAAGGAGGATGGGGTAGGGAGAAAGAGAAAAGGAAAGGAAGTGAGCAGGCAGCTGCCTGACTCACTGTTCTTAGTATTTAGCCTCAGGGGAACTCCTCAGTATGCACAGAGCCCTTCATTTACTAGTGGTGAGCAGAGGGGCCTGGTGTGAGCAGAGGAGCCTGGTGTGAGCAGAAGGGCCTAGTGTGAGCAGAGGGGCGTGGTGTGAGCAGAGGGGCATGACTGAATGCTAAAACATAGTATAGTTACCTTCAAATTATCTTGGGGTATACTAGAGTGTCTTAGACTATATTACAGGTAGTTAAGACTTAGATGAGTTTGGACCTGCTTGTAATTTAAGATGCTGCCCCACAAGCCAGGTGGTGGCACACCATTAATCTCAGCACTCGGGAGGCAGAGGCAGAGGATCTCTGTGAGTTCAAGTCCATCCTGGTCTACAGAACAGGTTCCAGGACAGCCAGGACTACACAGAAAAACCCTGTCTCAAAGGAAGGAGAAGGGCCAGGCGTTGGTGATGCACGCCTTTAATCCCAGCACTTGGGAGGCAGAGGCAGGTGGATCTCTATGAGTTCGATACCAGCCTGGTCTACAGCGCTAGTTCCAGGACAGCCTCCCAAGCCACAGAGAAACCCTGTCTCGAAAAACAAAAAAAAAAGAAAAAAGGAGGAGGAGAGGAGGAGGGGGAGGGGGAGGGAGTAGAGGAAGCAGAAGAAAAAGAAGACGACGACGAAGAAGAAGATGAAGAAGAAGAAGACGAAGAAGAAGAAGAAGAAGAAGAAGAAGAAGAAGAAGAAAAGAAAAATGGATGGTTCCCCATTCATACTAAACTCTGCCCTCATTTACCCCCGGAAGATATAGTCTAGGAAGAGAGATGTCAAGGCTGCAGTTTGGATCTAGGGTGGTGGCAGAAGCCAAGGCCACTCCTTCAGCTCTGCATCAGTAAGAATTCCCATTAGTGCCACCAACCCTACTCACTCTTTCTCTGCTTATGCAGAAATATTTTATCAGCCTCTGCTGACTTAACCAACAATCCTAGGCCAGATTCAACATAACAACTAAGGGCTTCCCTCCTCAAGCAAACATGGAGGGTGTGACAGTTAATCTTGGTTATCAAGTTGGTCGGGATTAGAATCACCATAGAAACATACCTCTGGGTCACCATAGAAACACACCTCTGGGTCCCCATAGAAACACACCTCTGGGTCACAATAGAAACACACCTCAGGGTCACTATAGAAACACACTTCTGAGTCACCATAGAAACACACCTCTGGGTCACCATAGAAACACACCTCTGGGTCCCCATCGAAACACACCTCTGGGTCACTATTGAAACACACCTTAGGGTCACTATAGAAACAACCTTCTGAGTCACTATAGAAACACACCTCTGGGTCCCCATAGAAACACACCTCTGGGTCACAATAGAAACACACCTCAGGGTCACTATAGAAACACACTTCTGAGTCACCATAGAAACACACCTCTGGGTCACTATAGAAACACAGCTCTGGTTGTGTCTTTAAGGATGTTTCCAGAAAAGTTTAATTGAGCAGCAAAGACTTTGAATGTGGGTATCACCATCCCATGCTCTGGGTTCCCAGACTGAGTGACAGGAGAAAAGCCAGCTGAGCTCCAGCATGCGTATCTCTCTCTGCATTGGTTTCCACGGGAGAAGAAAAACTTTGGATACCATCAAAGTTGATCAATCGAGTTGAAAAAGACAAACCTCTCGACAAGGACGAGTGACAGGTATTTTACTAAGGTATATACTCATAAACTAAATAGAAACCTCCCAAAGGAAAGGGAAGTGTTTTGCTTCTATATTCACAGGAAAACTCATTTCCAGAAATCCAAGAACACTACATGAGTAGATACTTAAGAAGAGAAGGTAGCTATAACCATCAAACAAAAGGAATGTGCCATATGGTAAACTTTATAGCTGTCTCTCAAATAACTCTATTTCTCTTCATTTTTCTGGTCCCTATTCAAGTAAATCAATGCTGGATTTAGAATTCGATTTGGCTTTCCTCCCCTAAAATCCAAGACTGCACTGGATACAACTTATTCTGTTTCAAGTGACACTCCGACCAGAGCTTCGAGTACTGACTTCAATCAAGTTGAGGATTTCAACCTAAATCTTCAATCAAGAAAATCCCATCTAACATGGACTGGATATAATCCATTAGAGACTTTCACTATGCTAACATTTTCTTCCCACAAGACCCCACAAGGCTACCATCATCCTATTTCATCAGGAAGTAAGTTGGAGGATGCTACACCCCCATCCCCCATTATTGTCTATTAAGGTAGTGTAAGCCTAGTTAGGAATAACTTTCCTATTGTTTAGGGTTGGGATTGGAAGGAGATGTTCAGGTTTGTACCTTCTTTCAGATGGCTTTAGGGTTTAGCTGAAATAGACATGGTTAGAATGTGCAATAGCAAATTTCTTGTATTTCACCTTTATGATTGTTAATTTTGGATACTTTACACTGTTAAGTTTTAATCCTCTTTTAGACTAAAAGGGGAATTATAGGGGACAGTAAGCCACGCCTGTTAGAAGCTGGTTACAGGTGTGCCTGACCACGCCTGCTAAGGTGTGGTCAAGGTGAGGTCAGGATGAAGCCGGATGTGCTCTTAAGGGGCTGAAAGCACATGGGAGGTCCCTTCTCTCTGGCCTCACTGCCTTGCTGCCCTGGGCATGGATCTGGCTTGTGTTTGGCTGGTGTTTTTCTAATAAAAATATCTTTATCCCAAGCTCCTTTTACTTCTTAATACTGCGGGATTGTTTGAGCTTACTGGTAGCAGAGTCTACTTCAGTGGCATGGCAGTGGACAGGACCTTAGTGGGTGTTGGGCCCAGTGTCATCACTTATCTGCTGGTGCTGTACCATCACAGGCTTACCCAGGGCCAATGACCCAGAATCCACCCTAGTTTGGAGGGAGCTTGCTTGGGTCATTCACAGCCTGCAGGGCCTGATGGGAGACTGTTGGCTTCATTTTGCCACTGCCTAGATAACTAGCTCTAGTTTTAGATCTAGACGTAGTTCAGAACTGGTTCATTTAATAACTAGGAGAAACTTGGCTTCTGGTAAGAATTCTAGACCGTGTCCTCTCGCTGTTTCCCTCAGCCCCCACTCCCCTATTTGCAACCATAGCCTTAAATGGTAACACAAACACATTTCCAGATCATTTTCAGGGACATTAGAGATTAAAAACATAAAACAACACCAACGAATGGGGTGTTTTGGAGGTGAAATGTCAACTCCGAGCAGTTTCCTTTTTTAGAACCAACTGCTCCAGATAAGGTGCTGATCAGTTTATGAGCGAGGACAGAGTAGAACAGCCGCTTTCTAGATTACAAAGCCCAGGAAATCCATCTAGAGACAATTTGAGAAGGAATTAGGCTCTAGAGCTTTAGAGGCATGAAGTGGTTTTTGAAGTCATTTGATAAACAGTAGACATCAGATAGCCAAGACCCACCCTGCCTCCAATCTCTCTCTCTCTCTCTCTCTCTCTCTCTCTCTCTCTCTCTCTCTCACACACACACACACACACACACAAACACACACACACGGCAGATTGAAGCTAGTGGGAATACAAGCTAGTTATCTTACAATTATAGGTTACTCTAACTGTAGCCTTCAAAAAAACTCAATGAACAGTTCATCTAAGATTTTTCTTACATTTAAATGATCTGCTTTGGAGGTAGAGGGCTTAGAATTTGGAAATTTTTAACCACAGGGCCTGTATCAGTTATTTTTCTTTCCCCTCTTCTAGCATAATGTTGTTTCCCCCTTTGTTCTCATCTTGTGAAGGTGAGGATATCTTTTAATTTTGCTTTATGAAGCTCTAACCAGGAACCATGCCTTCCTCCTGTACAGTACCCTAATTTCTCATGTCACCTATCCCATCATACTGTAATTATTCCAAAGGAATCTTTCCATTCTGCGGTGTGCTGTGCTGTGCCTCAGTGTACCTGGTGTGTAGCACAGCGCTGCAGTCATGGGTAGGCTTCCAGCGAACACTTTAGGGACTAAACTGAAGCAGACTTTTCTTTTTCCGTATTGCTGAAATGTGAGTTTTAGTTGCGATTTAAAACTGACAGCCTAGGAAAGACCTTTCTTAATTTTAGGTGGAGTTGGTCTTTTATTTATTTTCTTTACATTTCATCTCTTAACAATACTTCTTCCATTTTTCCCCCCTTGCACAGAGTAGTGATCAGCTACTAATTGCTTTGTGTCCTACTGTAAAATGAAAGTGAGCTGGCAGAACGCTAGGGCCTACATACAACTTGTACATGTATTTTGTCCTTTAGTGACTCATTATTTCATACTCAGAAAATGTTAACATCTTTCCAATTAGTTTAAAGAGAAACATGTTTTATTTATGTATTTTTTTTTTCAAGATAGGGCTTCTCTGTGTAGTCCTGGAACTCACTCTGTAGATCAGTCTGTCCTGGAACTCAGAGATCCTTCTGCCTCTACCTTGAGTGCTAGGATTAAGGACATGCACCACCACAATCTGGCTTGAATTAAAGTATTTTTAAATTTTTTTAGATTTATTTATTTATTATGTATACAGTATTCTGCCCACAAGCCAAAAGAGGGCACCAGATCTTATAGATGACTGTGAGCCACCATGTGGTTGCTGGGAATTGAACTCAGAACCTCTGGGAGAAGCAGTCAGTGCTTTTAACCTCTGAGCCATCTCTCCAGCCCTGAATTAAAGTATTTTTTATGGACAATGTAATCGCAATAAACTGCATCTACTAAGGAAAGTCTCTTGGAACTGTGCGAGGCAGATGCAACTAGAGTTCTTGAAGCAAATGGTTTCTGAAGTTTACAGATTGTAGCCATGCATTTCCTGTTTATTGTCAGTGTGGATACTTTGTGTATGTGTGTGGAGGGAACAGCTTGCTGGAGTTGGTTCTTCCTGCCACTTAGCTCAGGTTTGTCTTGTTCAGCTGTGCTGAGTAGTCCAGATCCCACCAGCTTCCTGGTGATTCACCTGTCTATTGCATTCTGGAATTACAAAGACTGACCCTGCTTTTGGGTTTGGAAGCACACAATAATGAATTCCTCTCCCTGAGGCTTTTGCTAATAAACAAGGAATTAAATACTTGCACCCAAAAGTGTGATTTATTTTGTAAATGTTCCTGAACAGAGAAGAACAGTGAGTGTTCCCTGTGGAGTGAAAACGCCACCACATGGTACTTCTGGACAGCCTCAAGTTCTTTCTTCCTGGTCGTGTTTTTTAACTCTGTGGTTCGTGCCACCAACGGCACACACAGAGCCATGTCTTGGCAGTAAAATTCCATGGAGTCCGTTTTGAGGATCAGATTCCTACACCTGTTTTTAGCTCTAAATACAAGCCATGCATTGCATCTCACTTTTGGATATAAAGTGATAAAGTTGTACTGGACACAGCCCGTGTAACCCAGTCAAACTGCTCTATTTGGTTTATTCAGTCCACACTCGTGGAGCCATCAACCTAATCCTGCTCCTACAGCTTCCTGCTGTACTCTTCTGGGTCTCTTCTGGGTCTGGGACTGCTGTCCCCATGTGCTGCTGCTATTTTTATCTGCCCTCTTAGCCATAAAAGGCTGGCTGTGGGGCCCTGATGTTCTGTTGCTTGACCACATGCATTATTTTTGAACTGGCCCCCAGGTCCTGCCTCTAGCCCTGCCTCTTAACTTTTCCTGGATTCAGCCACCTAGGGTCTGCATTCTCTCCTCCTGCTCCTTGGTCACAGCTGTGGAACATCCCCTGCCATCCCTGCCATCCCTGCCCCGGAGACTGGTAAGTGTGACATAGAGGCAGCAAATGTCTGTCTTCTCAGCTCAGCAGGGAAATGACAGAGGAAAGGGAGAGCAGGGCAGCACAGTGCCTGCTGGGGCCGGCGGCTGTTTTGTCATGTCTGTCATGTCACTATATTCTTTTGAAATGAAGCAGCTATTCCTGGAACTATAAGATCATATTGTCTCAGATTCAACTCAAGTCCTCTCTCCAAGTTTATAGTTCAGTAGTGTGGTTGAAATATGGACTGGGTGAGGGACAGGAAGCAGTGAAATGTTTTCCCTCCTCTGCATGCCTACAGGTCTATCTCCCTGAGTGCAAATCAGGCTAGAAGGATACAGATTCTCTTTAAAGCCACTGTTTCATGATCCAGTGACTTTGCTCTGAGAGGGCAGTGTGGCTGAATTCTCAAGTGCAGTGCGTTATTTCTGACTTGAAAATGGTTGGGTGCTAGAGAGGCGGCAGGCCCAGCACTGGGACCCTGAAACCATCGCCTTCTATAATTTTCATCAGCTTTTGGCCTCCGATGCCAGCGTTAAGAGAATTGCTGCAAGATAGCAATTGCAGAGTTAGTGTTTCTTCCTGAGCACCCGAATTATTTTTAGGAAGGAAATTTAGGTTTCAGAGGCACAGAAGACCACAAAACCATCTTTCTTTCTAACAAATTTTGGCTGTTGTGTGTTGGGCTAAACCTGGCTCACTTAAGAAAAAGGAGGTGGTTATACCATCGTTCCAAAGGTCAGTCAGCCCTGGTGACTTAAAGGCAAGCCCTGTTTACTGGTAATATGTGACCCCTATGTACTCAGCACTAAATATGAATAAAATAAATATGTTTGGGGCAGATAACAAAGAGTGGAAAATAGAATTAGGGCAAGACATTTGAATAATCTGTTTTGTGAAAATGATAGTGTTTTGAATCATCTGGGTGTGGTGTTAGTTTATAATGCAATATAATATAATACAATATAGTGAATTATATGTGATCATCATATAATATAGTGAAAGTTCTTTGTTATTTGTAAGTCATTCCATTGGCGCTGTTACAGAGACTTCTCTAACACTTCATGACACTAATGGCATTCTAGACTAATGTATCCTACCCTTTATACTCTAAACATTATTTAATAATTATTCATTAAGTACAATTCTGTATACTTAGTAACAGAAACAGCAATCTATTTAAGGGTTGAAACCAAATTACTTGCTAGTAGCTATTTTTTTTTTTCTTCTTAGGAAATGCCATGTAGACTGGCATTTCTGGATTTTCTTCTCTAGAGAGTATATTTGACTTTTTAAGTCACTTAAATAAAATTTAGTATTAAATTTGACAAAAATTAAAATGACTCACTCCTCACTTAGGATTTTTAAGAAAAACAAAGTTTGAAGAAAAAAGAAAACCTTTACTTGAAAACAATTTTCTTGTGTATTTTTGAAACTAATATTTTAGAACTTTATGCATAAGAGTATTTTTTAAAGCCTAGTTTGCCACATGGCTGATTGTCTTCCTTTTGGTGAACACATTATTTACAAGAGCGAAAGTGGGGGCTCTGTGAGTAAAAAAAGGCACTTCTTGCCAAGCCTGCTGACCTGAGTTTCATCCCCGGAACCCACATGATGGGAGGAAAGAACTGATACTCACAAGTTGTCCCCTGCTCTCTGTCTACACGCTGTGACACAATGCACCCCACATATGACTGATCAATAAGACAGGCAGATGCAAAGAAGAAAAGTAAATGCAATGCGGAGCCTCCCAAGTGAAGCATGCATCAGACTAGAGTATCAGAAAGTTAGAGATGGGCATTGTAGAGTGTTTGAGAGAAAAGCACACTAGCCAGAGAGGAAACTCTGTTCATCTGTCCTAGACAAGAAAGAACAGAATGCATACCGGCAGGGGGTGCGTGTGGGGGCCTCTGAGGAGGGGCTTTGTGAGTACCCACTCACTTCTCGTCATGATTGCAGTCTACAGATTTCTGCATTGGCTGAGATGACTTGTTCTCTGGGATTGTTCTATCGAGATTGCTTTCTTACAGGTTGCCTCCTCCCCTCAAGGGCCCACGATGTCATTGCCTTTCTACCAGAAGTCCCACCAGCACTATGATCTCAGTTACCGTAACAAGGACCTTCGCACCACCATGAGCCACTACCAACAGGAGAAGAAGCGCTCTGCCATCTACACCCATGGCTCTACTGCCTACAGCAGCCGTTCCTCGGCAGCACACCGCCAGGAGTCAGAGGCCTTTAGTCAAGCATCGGCCACCTCCTACCAGCAGCAGGCCGCTCAGGCCTACAGTCTTGGAGCATCCCAGTACTCTCGAGGGTCTGAAGTCAGCCGGAAGACAGCCTCGGCGTACAATTATGGCTACTCCCACGGGTATGTCAGGAGCAGCCTTCCAACCTTGGGCACATGCCCTAAATAATCACGTTTCCTGTCTTAAATATGGCAACCCTGTTATACCAGGTGTGGAGGGGAGACCTGAGCACTGTGTCTTATCTTTTCCGTTTTAGTGTCTGTTTGAAATTCACGGTGTTTTAAGGGTCTTGCTTGAGTCATCCACTGTGGTGATATTTCTAGAGGTAGGGAAGTTTTGGTTACTCTGGCAGCCACAGAGACAGGAAACATTTAGACAGCAGGTTTCCTGGCTCTCATAATGTATATGCTTGGATTAAAAGCCAGTAGAGGATTTAAAATTCACAGGTGCTATGGAACAAACATACAGTGGAGATGCACTGGAATTTTTCAACATCTGAAAAACAGTACTCAAAATTCTGAGTTAATATTTTTGGTTTTTTTTGTTTTGGTTTTTCGAGATAGGGTTTCTCTGTGTAGACCTAGCTGTCCTGGAACTAGCTCTTGTAGACCAGGCTGGCCTTGAACTCACAGAGATCCACCTGCCTCTGCCTCCTGAGCGCTGGGATTAAAAGTGTGCGCCACCACTGCTTGGCTGTTAATATTTTCTATATCTGGAATATTTTATACAGAAGCAGGGCCTTTTCTCAGTGAGCTTAAGAATAATAGGAACAAGTATGTATTAGGCCAAATTAGATTACTGACCAAACACAATGAGGGAGACTCTACTCCCAAACAAAAAAAGTTATGTTAGGATGCTAGAAGAGTGAATAGCAGATGAAGGTCTGTTCTGCAAAGCTTTCCCTGGAAGCAATAAAGCTAGCATAAATGTGAACTGATATATCTGGAAAGTTCCCGTTTGGATCTCTTTGCCTGGAGTGGACGTTAAGGTTGCTTTCCTGACTGAGGTCTTCCAGGCTGAGAGTGGGAAGTCTCCTTCTTTTAAGAGTTCTTAGTTTATTTCAGCGTATGTATGTGTGATGGCATGAGTTTATGTGTACCACTGGCATGCAGGTGCTCAGAGAGCTGAGAAGAGGGTGTCAGAGCCCCTGGAACTGGAGTTTTAGGTGGTGGTGTGAGCCACACAATGCGAGAGTTGGGAACAGAACCTGAATCCTGAGAAGAGTATAAAATATTTGTCAAGTGCCTCTCTCAGGGCAAATAAAAGGTTACTGGGGAAATGATGCGACAGCTTGTGGGCATCGATGTGGAGAAGGCAGAAACTCATGTTGTCAGTGACAGTGACCTCGAGGGAGCTTCTGACTGGTTCAGTCACAGAGCCAGAGTCTGCCAGGGTTTACCTGGAATGTACGACGGCAACACTCCGAAATTGCGCTCGGAATGGAACAGGATCACTTTGCAGTCTCACTTTCATAGGTCATGTTCTGCCCTGGGATATTCATAAGGATCTCATGTTGGCTGCAAAAATGGAAATATTGTCGCTGAGAAGAATCTGTTGCTTTTAGCACTTACTTCAAATGAATCACCTTCCAAAGGAAAATTGGGAGAAATTAACAGTGTGTGTGTGTGTGTGTGTGTGTGTGTGTGTGTGTGTGTGTGTGAGAGAGAGAGAGAGAGAGAGAGAGAGACAGAGACAGAGACAAAGACAGAGAGACAGAGAGAGAGACAGAGACAGCATCAGTTTGTTCTCTTTTTTCCTCAAGAAATTATTTTTTTACTAGTTCAAATTAGAAACAAGCCTGCTTCATATGTCAATCCCTTCTCTCTCTCTCTCTCCCCTCCTCCCCCACCCCCCACCAGCTCCCCACCCCATCCCTCCTCTGCTCCCCAGGGAGGGTGAGACCCTCCATGGGGGATACCCAAAGTCTGTCATATCACCCTGGGCAGGGCCTAGGTCCTCCCCCATGTGTCCAGGCTGCAGTTTGTTCTCTTGAAGAATGTCCCATAGCTGTATTCAAGAACCTCATTTGGGAAAGCAGCTGTCTTGCAAAGAGCAGGAGGATTAGATGTTAAATATCCATCTTCCTGGATTGTCTGCTCCAGGTCTACAGAAGATGGTGATTTTATGATCATGAAGCTAGCTAATTTCTGGTGTACTTATTTCATTTTCCACACATGGAAGAGTCGATGGAATGGTGTACAGCTATATGTTCAAATGATTTTATTTCTTTAGCTCCACTGCAAACTTCTATGATCTAACCACTTTGATGTTACAAGGTTCATTTAGATTCTGTGCAGTATCCGTATTTATAATTCAATACAGCATCTCAAGCATCAGCAGTTGGAGTGGTTTTTTTAGAGAGAGTAGGGGATGTTGTCATAAGAAAGGAGCTGTAATCATTTTTCCCATGTTCCACACCACACCTTGTTCCTACTGTGTATGTAGGTTAGTGTTTGTAAATGGCTTGCTATGCTCAAACAAGACTGAGTTCAAGATTCTTGGTGGGAACAGAATGAGCTAGAAACAGTGCATGTGGGGGAGAAAAACACCAGCACTGTCTTCCCCACTTCATATCGTGAATGTAAAAAGAGAAAGAAGCCTACCATGACCTTGGATGCATTTCAGTGTGGCAGGGAGTATTGTTGGTTTGTTTGTTTCATTTTAGAACTAGGAGTAACACATGCAGGCTTAGAATCTTTGTAATTTCTTCAGGCTGTTCTTAAGTTTATTCAAAATGAAAGGGTTTTCCCTGCTAAATGAGGTGTGTCTTTGGATTGTGAACAGTCTCTTTGATAAAGTCTCCTGTGTTGGAACTGCAGCCCTCTTAAGTGTATGTCAGCACTAGGCTAGGTCTATTTTTACCCTCTACTTTGTAGTTAGCTGTCCAATGTTAAGTTGGAAAGTACAGAGATTTAAATGTGCTCAGGGCTTGGCTGACCTCAGTAAGTCTTGCTTGGAGTCAGTGTGGTTTGCTTGATGTCAGTGTGGCTGTTAGCATGGATTGGTTACTGACTATGTTGTAAAACACTTTAAATGCCTTTAATTCATGGTCACGTTGATAAAAAAAAAAAAAAGACCCTAAAAGCAGAGTGGTAAGATTGACATTTTATGTAATAATGGTGTCAACAACAAATGTGATCAAAGGGGAATACAAGGGCTCTGTGTGTGCACATTCACGAACCGTGTGTGCCTGCACAAGTGGGGGCCAGAGGTCAATGTCCAGCACCCTCCTCTATCACTCTGCACATTTTAGTCAAGCACTCAAGATCTGAGAATTCAGTTGGATTAGCTGGATGGCAAGTCCCTGGGATCCTCTCATCTCCATCCAGTGCTGAAATTACGGGTACCACCTTCAGCTTTTCTCATGAGTGCTGGGATCCAGCTCACATCCCCATGCTTTTACAGCAAACACTTCACATACTAAGCCACAGCCCAAGCCCACGTTCTGTAACTCTGGCTTTCCTGCTTTTGTTCCATTTCCCTTTTGCGGAGGTACGGATAATGATTCACAGGACTAGGCTCAAATATAAGTTAAATATAATTTATTTCGGGGAAAAGTCACTTACACAAGAAGCAGACAGCTCTGCACAGGCTGCTCCCTGTGACCTGACCCGCCGCAAGCGAGAGCCACCTGCCTGGACCCCAGACCTAAAACTCACTCTCAGTCATGTTCACACCTGTGACCACTCCCGAGCAGGTGTGATCATCACTACAGGTTCGAGCGGTGTGGATATCTCACTATACCCTTTGATCTTCAACTATGCAGGAAGTAATATGATGTCTTTGTTTGGTACTTAAATACCAGAAGAGTGCTGGTGATACGGCTCAGTGGGTAAAGGTGCTTTCACCAAACCTGCTGACCAGAGTTCAATCCCTGGACTGGGGGTGAAATGTTATGTCTCTTGGTATATAACTTTCCTGCTGACCAGACATTGGGGAAGCCTGCGGGAACTGTTTCATTTTGCTTGGTTTTATATCCTATTATACTTCGTTTTTAAGGACTGGAGGTTGAAGCAAACATCCTTTTGGTGTGTTTGTTTGCTGAGACGGGGCATCACTGTGTAGGGGAGCTCACTAGAGGAGCTTTTGAATTCATGGAGATCCTCCTGTCTCTGCCTCTGCCTCTTGGGATCTGGGATTACAGGCATGTGGCACCATGTCTGGCACCTATTAGATTTATTTTTTGAAATTATTTTTTATTTTTATTTATGTGTATGTGTGTTTGACTGCATCGCTGTATGTGTACCAAGCGCATGCCTGGGACCCAAGGAAGCAGAAGAGCATGTCGGATCCCCTGGAACTGGAGTTAAAGATGCTCGTGAGCCACCCTACTGGGGCTGGGAACTGAACCTGGGTTCAGTAAGAGTACCCAGTACCCTTACCTGTCTCTCCAGCCACAGATGCAGGGTTTTTTTAATGCTTCCTGAACCTGCTTGTATATCTATGTTCATAAAAAAATACTGGGCTGTAGCCATATCCTGATGTCTTAATCAGAAGACACTGGCATTACCGGATGAATTAGACAATGCTATTTTAACATTTTTAAAAAAATATTAAATAATCATTATCATTTTTTCCTTAAATATTTGATAAAATCTATCAGTGAAAACCACTTAGGTGTCTGCTTTTCCTTGTGAGAATATTTTAGATTATTAATTCAACTTCTTGGCTTTGGTAATGCAGAGTTTTGTGTTTCTTCTTGAGGTAGTTTTGGTCATTTTGGTCTTGTAGGAATTGCTCCATTACATTTTAGTTTTCTAGTGAGTTGACATGGAAGCAGCTACACTACTTTGCTATGAGTCTTCTTAGTTTTGAGGGCTGGTTATGATGTTTCCACCATCACTCTTGGTTTTAATAACTTAATACTCTTTGCATGATTAAACTACTATGTTTTTTCAGGGCTTTCTTTGAGGGGTCTTTGCTGATAGCAATTCTGTTCTGTTTCATATTTCATTGTTTCTTCTTGACTCTTCATTATATCACCCTTTTCTTGTGCTTATTTTAATCTACACACACACACACACACACACACACACACACACACACACACATATATATATATGTGAAGTATTGACTAGGGTCATTTCATTCTAGGCAAACCTTCGACCTCCAAGGTGTACTACTAGCCTTCCTTTATTTTACCTTTTACTTTGAGACGGATCACGAAGTTGTCCAGGCAGCTCTTAAACCTGTGATCCTCCTGCCTCAGTCTTGCCACAAGTGGAGTCTAACCTCCATACAACCCAATGGATGATTGTATGCAAGTTTTAAGAAGGAATTCATTTTTTAAATGAAGAACCACTTCTCCATTCAGTGTATTCCTGTGTCTGATTTCAGAGCTGAGTCTTGTTGTTTTATCATTGACTTTTGACTAAAGGAACAGATGAACAACTCACCTCAGTACTGGGAATCCTGCTTCTGCAAAGTAGAGAGTGTGTGTGTGTGTGTGTGTGTGTGTGTGTGTGTGTGTGTGGTGTATGTGTGCACATGTGTGATGTGTGCGTGTACATGTGCGTGTGGTGTGTGTGTGTGAGTTGGGGCCAGAGGTCTGTCTCCAGTGTTGCTCTCAGGTGCTCCCCCCTTGTTTTTGTGATATGGAGTCTCATTGTCTTGGAGCTTGCCAAGTATTTTAGGTTGTCTGGCCAGTGAGCCTTGGGAATCCTGTCTCTGCCACCCCAGGACTGGAATTAGAAATACACATCATCACACTTAGATTTTGTTATTTTTTATTTATCTTTTATTTATTATGTGCGTTGGTGTTTGACCTGCATGATTTGTGAGGGAGTCAGATCCACTGAACTGGAGTACAGTTGTGAGCTGCCATGTGGATGCCGGGAATTGAACCTGGGTCCTCTGGATGAGCAGCCGATGCTCTTAACTGCTGAGCCATCTCTCCAGGCCCCACACTTAGCTTTTAAACATGGGGTTTGGGGGTTAATTAATTTTGTTTTCTAGCTTTAATAAATAATTTGGAAGCTGGACATAGTTGCAATACTGTAATCTCAGCATTGGGAGGAAGAAATAGAACCACCGTGGTCCCGGGCCAGCCCAAGCGACATAGAAGGGCACTGTCTTAGTCAATCAGTCAGCAAATAACTTGACATTATTAAGTCATCTATTTAGATAGTAATTTAACATCCACTTCACACACTGTAAAAAACAATAACTTAGCTAGTTGTGGTGGCACATGACTTTATTACAGTGTTTGGGGGCAGAGGCAGGAGAATCTCTGAGTTCTAGGTCAGCCTGGTCTACATAGTGAATTCCGGGACAGCCAGGGATATATAGTGAGACCTTGCCTCAGACTGAAAAAAAGAAAGAGACAATAACTTGAGTTAGCTTTAGAAAGCATAAAAAAATGGAGCAATCTTGTATTTCCTGTATAATACTGTATAACATATAACAACATATTACTTTTTATAAAGTATTTGTTCAAGATAAAATATTAAATGGGAGCTAGTGCTATTGCCACAAATGTTTAGCATTTGGTTTAGCTACTAAAACTCAGTTCCTATAATTTACCGTGAGAATGGGATAATCTCATTTGGGGTATGTCCTATGTAATAAATTCATTATTTAAAATATTTCTCTTATGGGAAAAAAGCCAACAAAAATAATGGAGTATCATAATTTCTATTGCAATCCAACATTGAGTTTGTTTTCAATGTTGGATTGCAGTAGAAATTATTTCGATGAGTTTGCGAAAATTTGATTGTAGGGAAAAATGAAAAAAAAAAGGCTAAAAATAGAAGAGTATTGAGAAAATTCCACTGTTCTCAAAATAAGAAAGGCAGCAATACACTTGATCTCATGGTTTATTTTGTATAGTAATCAAGAGGTAGAGACACATACCACTTTAGCATAGGCCTGTGTGAGCACAGGCTGTACTTTGTGACCTGGGGTATAATATGCAGTCCTTTTGCTGGAACAGTCAACCAAGGACAAATTTCACTCTGGCTTCCAATCGGTAAGCAATCTACAAGCTTGACTTTAAGGTTCTAACCTTTAGCTCCAATGCTGCTCCAGAGAAAAGAGTAGCTATTGCCCTGGGTAGCAGAGTGTGCCACCTCCATGTGACCGCATCAGAGTAGCCCAACCTGCACATGCAACACAGTTTTAATAGACAAGATACACGCACACTCATCCATGTGTGTGTGCTCAATGTCTACTCAGAAACCGGGCCTCTGTGCACCCTGTAAATCTTTGACCCTTATTGTTTTGTACAGCACTACTTACTTTCTTGCATTACTGGTTTTATACTGTGTGTATGTTTGGCCCATGGTTCTGCTTTTGAATTCTCTTTGCTTTTCTAAATCTTAAAAAAAGATTATTTATTCCGTGTGTGTGTGTGTGTGTGTGTGTGTGTGTGTGTGTGTATGTGAGTGTGAGTGTGTGAGTGTATATGTGTGTGAGTTTATGTGTGTGTATATGTGTGAGTGTGTGAGTGTGTGTGTGTGTATGTATGTGTATATGTGAGTGTGTGTATATGTGATTGTGAGTGTGTGAGTGTGAGTGTATTGTGTGAGTGTATGTGTGTATATGTGTGTGAGTATGTGAGTGTGAGTGTATGTGTGTAGATGTGTGTGAGTGTGTGTGAGTGTGTGTGTGTGTGTGTGAGTGAGTGAGTGTGAGTGTGAGTGTGTGTGCCTGCATAAGTCTATGTGCACCACATGCATGCAGGTGCTCTCGAGGCCAGAGGGCTTTGGATTTCCTGAACTAGAGTTACAGATGGTGGTGAGCCAACCATCTGGGTTTTGGGAACTGAACCCTGGTCCTCTGTAAGAGCAGCCCTCTGCAACATCTCCAAGTGTTTTTTAAACATTAGGCAGTGGTCAAGACTTGAGTAATTTTAACTGAGCAGCTTGATATTTGCTAAGGGATACCACGCACAGGCTTTGCCTTTTCAACAATTCTCTGGACTAGGAGCTTTAATGATACTATTTTATTTTAGAATAGTTCAAGTCTATAGGAGGAAATTAAGTATAGAGTGTTCCCACACAGCCTCCTATTGTTGGCATCCTTCATCTCCTTAGACGCCAGGGAATTTTCAGTCTACACATTGGTTCCTGGGAGTCTATGCACTAGAATTCATGAAATCTTTTGTCTGTATGAAAAAATATTTTATTTAATTCAACAACTACATAGGTTAAGGTTGTTTCTTTGTTTTGCTAATTTTTATGGTTTCTACTGTTTCCCACCTCCCAGTGAAGCTTTTCATTCATTCAAACATGAACTACCTCCTTGCACACATTTGCCTCAGTGTACATAGTCAAATAGAACTGGTCCAAGTATTCTTTATCATACTCTATCACTCAACACCAAATGTCCATGTAATGAGAACTTATTTGATGAATTCAGGGTTTCCTCGGTGGCTGGAATCTGACTGCAGTAAGTATGGAAAGGTCTCACAGTGAGAACCTAGGGTTCTGCATCAGAATAGCCCAGGATTACTGTGTGTAGAATTGTCCATTTCCCATTCTGTTCTAAGAGGACATGGATACAAAATATATCAAAACCATTTATATGCTTGTGTACAAGACCCTGGATTTGATTCCCAACACTGAAAAAAGAAACAGACAAACAATTTATATAGATTGCCTACATTTCAAACACCAACCATAAAGGCTATTTGAAAATATCAATATCTTTCTCATTTCAGATGAAATTTTAGAGGGAACAAGCCATGAAATCACTACTTTTTCTTGGTGACTGTCTAGAGTACATTTACATATCTGCTATCTTTCTAACTTTAATTCATTTCTAAAGGGAAAATATAACAAGATTAGAGACCCAAGGTTCTAGGAAAATTCCCCTGCATCATGCCCCCTACCCCAGCTTTGTCAACCCTTGGAATATCTTAAATGCACTTTGTGTTCTGTCTAATGTTAGGAATCTTATTTCAGACTAACAGATTCCAGTCTGCTATTAGAAGATTATTCATCCAAGTTGAGTCCCCAAACAAAGAGAGCCAAGCGGAGCCTTCTGTCTGGAGAAGAGACAGAAAACTTGCCAGACAACTACATGGTGCCTATTTACTCTGGACGGTGAGTGTGCTCTCTCTTCCAGTGTATAATTATTACAAAGAGGGAGTCAATAGTAGCTAATATTCATTGAGTATTCACTATATATTCGTTTAAAAGGGACTTAGGAAATTTAGAACCGACGCTGAGAAAGATGAGCTGATGGAAATCAAGGGCTTTCGTTGTCAGATATTTTTGTCATTCATAGGGAACATGACAACAGAGAAAGACTAGGGCATAATGCTATGCATGTGGTCAGATGGCATGGGAAGCAGAGCTTTAGAGTGTTTAATATTACCTGTAATCAGTATTGTACAGTAAAAGGAAGATTCAAAACTGCAGAGTGTAAAGTAAGCAGGTAAGAAGGTTGTGGAAGGGCAAAGAGAGGAGGGCAAAGAAAGCACTAGAGGTATGAATATAACCAAAATATCAAAATGTATTGTGTTTGTATGGAATCTCAGTAGGAAGTATTGCAAAACTAGTATATGCTGACAATAATTTTTAAAATTATGTATGTTAAAAACCCAAACTATAGCTGGGCGTTGGTGGCGCGCGCTTTTAATCCCAGCACTCAGGAGGCAGAGGCAGGCGGATCTCTGTGAGTTCGAGGCCAGCCCAGAGCGAGTTCCAGAACAGCCTCCAAAGTCACAGAGAAACCCTGTCTTGAAAAAACAACAACAACAACAACAACAACAAAAACCCAAACTATAAAATGTTGGAGGAGTGGAGAAACCCGCTATGTACCAGAGTCTTATGTGACATTAGGACATGTTACATGTCTGGGCTGTGCACTACAGCAGAGTTCACACAGTCACATATGAGGTCGCAGACATTTGGTCTGTGTTTCATTGTACATTGTCAAATTTTCTGGGAAAAAAACGATTAACTTCCTTTTTAATTGTAAACTAAATTATATTTAAAACACACTAAGTTGGCCAGTGACATTCCTTGGGCTGTTTAATTAACTTCTTTAACCCTTGTAACCTTGTATCTAAGATAGGAGTGATAGTGTCTACCTTGTGGGATTTTATTTGGGTGGAATGAAAGATCATACTTGAAAGGCACAGGAACCATAATAGGAACCGTTACTTTTGTCCTTCCTAGTGTTAAAGGAAAGCACTTTCTTCTTCTATAATAAATAGACTCTGATTTATCACAACATTTTAAATGATTTGTTTTCTGTTTTGTGTGTATGAATATTTTTCTTGCATGTATATAAGCATGGCTGATGGAAGTCAGAAGAGGGCATCTTTACAGACTGGAGCCACAGAAGTTTGTGAGCCACCAAGGGGAATCTGGGAACTGAACCAGGGTCCTCTGCAATGTTCTGCTGAGCCATCTCTCCAGCCCCACACCTGGGTTGTTTTTTTTTTTGTTGTTGTTGTTGTTTTTGTTTTTGTTTTTTTTAATGGCAGATTTCCTAAGGGCATGGACAGTGCCTGAGCTCAGTGAAAGCAGACAAGCTTGTTACTGCCATGCGGTCTCTACTTTCTGCTCTGTTGTTTCAGCCAAGTGCACCTCAGTGGAATTAGAGACACAGAAGAAGAAAGAATCAAAGAAGCTGCTGCTTACATAGCTCAGAGGACTCTTCTTGCAAGCGAGGAAGAAATCTCAGCCTCCAAGAAGTCCATAGCTTCCAAGCAGTCCAGAGTATCCAAACAGGCCACGTCCACCCTTCAACGAGAGGAAATGTTTGAAAAGAAGTCGAGGAATGTTGCAATTCGAGAAAAAGCAGAAGAGCTGTCACTGAGGAAAACAGTAAGGAGAGCTAATGTCATGGCTGCTGTAATTTAAAAAAAGTGGTGCTGTGCTATAGAGTTCAAGCGGAGGGGTTTTTTTTGTTTTGTTTTGTTTTGTTTTGTTTTTTAAATTAGGGAAAGGAGTCATAAAAAGAGGAAAGGGAAAAGGGGAGGGGGAGACCAGCCTCTGGAGACAGGAGCAGCAGGAGAGAGAGGAGAGGGAGAGGGAAAGAGAGAGGCAGAGGGGGGGCAGAGAGAGAGAGAGAGAGAGAGAGAGAGAGAGAGAGAGAGAGAGAGGGGGGGGTGGGGGGGGGGTATCCTGTCAGAACCCCAAGGACAGGCCAGTACAGATACCTGAATACTAACAATGCTACTTATAAAAGTGGAAATGTGTTTCAGAAGCTGTGTGTGTATGTGTGTGTGTGTGAGAGCATGTGTGAGCTCGTGTGTGTGTGTGTGTGTGTGTGTGTGTGTGTGTGTGTGTGTGTGTGTTTCAAGGGCAGAGCTATGTGGGTTTCAGGGAAACAAAGTTAATGGAAACAAGGAGAAAAGGTGTTGGAATGCATAGGTCAAATAAAGGCAAACTTTGGAATTTTAAACTTCATGGAGATTCAGATTTGAAAGACAATAAACAAATTTATGAAGCCACTTTATCACAACATCATAGAGGTATTGCTCAATCTTAGGGTTTTAAAAACCAAACTCATTTAAAAAAAAAACAGGAAGGAAATGATTTTTACCTGACTATGAAAATAAGGATAAAAATGTAAAATTTAGGTCTGAGAATTCAGTTAAGTTCATATTGCTTGCACAAATGCATAGAGCCACCGGTTCAGTCCCCACCACTCCATAAAGTGGGACACCATGAAGATGCCATCCTGTAATCCTTGACCTTAAGATGTAGAGTCGGGAATATCAAGTTTAAAGTCATCCTTGGCTGTATCCTTGGGTGAGATGGAGGCCAGCCTGGGCTACATAAAAATCTACCTCAAACAAAACAACAAAAGAAGGGAAAGTAAAACATTGGAAACATTTGGTTGTTTACTTGCTTGATTTTTCAGTTGGAAGAGACCCAAGCATATCATGGAAAGCTAAATGAAGATCACCTACTCCATGCTCCTGAGTTTATCATTAAGCCTCGTTCTCACACAGTGTGGGAAAAAGAGAATGTGAAATTACACTGCTCCGTAGCAGGCTGGCCGGAACCTCGTCTCACATGGTATGTTTTCTTCGTGGATGCTAATAGAATTGATTACCAAGTTAAGTTTACATCCACAGAAAGCACCCTGAACTAGCAATATGCAAGAGTGAGCAAAGATACCTGTAAGTCTGCACACATTTTCAAAAGAGTAAAGATATTGAGACAGTTTTATGAATGGGAAGAACAAATGGTCTTATATAGATTATGCATTTTAATAACTTTGTAATCATAAAGGAGGGAGAGACAGTGCCATTGGTAAAGTGCTTGCTGTGTTAACGTGAGGACCTGGGTTTGGTTTCCTGCACCCATATAGGAAGCTGGGAAACAGGGAGAAAGAACCCTGGGGCTTGCTGATCACCTAGTTTAGACAAATCATGAAGTTCTGGGCTCATCATGAGACCTTGTCTCAAAAGTGTGGTGGAGAGTGATTGAGGAAGACACCGAGCTCTCACACACACATGAACACTTGTACACACTTGTACAGGTGCACATGCACACATGAATATTCATTTGTACACAGAACACTAAAACTCAGAGAGCTTCACCTCTGCCCCTCCTGTCTCACAATCAAAAACAGAAGCAACCATAGCAAAATGCCAAAAATGACTATGAATTTCTATGGCAAATAAATACCACAGGATATTTCTAATGTTTCAACAAAAATGAATTTTTTAAAATTTAGCTCACAAATTTTGAAGTATAAAAGTAAATTAAAAATGGATTCCTATTGCTCCCATACTTCCTTCTTACTATAAAGTTGCACCATTCAACCTTTAAAGGATTTTTTCTCAAAAACCAACAAACAACAGCCACTGAGCCAGCAAGATGGCTCATCAGGTAAAGGCATTGGCTACCAAGCCTGATGACCTATATGCAAGCCCAGAACCCACAGTGATGGAAGGAGAAAACCAACCCTCACAACATTCCATATATACATTCATTCATACACCCTCTCTCTCTACACAGACAGACAGACAGAAAGATATAATTAAAAATTACAGCTGGATGTGATGTCGAACACACATCTTTAATCCCAGCATTCAGGAGGAAGAGGCAAGAGGATCTTAGTGAGTTTGAGCCAGCCTAGTATATTGTGAGCTCCAAGATTCTCAAAAAGAGGATTGCAAGTTCAAGACCAGCTTGGGCTACATAGTGAGACTCTGTCCAAAAACCAAACCAAAAGGTACACAACAAAACTACAAATAAACAACAAAAATGTCTAATTACTGGTCTAGAGATGAACTTCATTGGTAGAGCACCTCTCTTATGTGAATTAAATCTCCCCCCCCAAACAAATATCACTTACCAAATTCGAAAGAAAATCCAAACATTGCTATGGAAATGCAGGAAGATGAATGAATGCTTAGTTCCCATAAATACTATTTGATAAGTTAAAAAAATCATTCTCTCAGAAATTTAAATATATTAATGTTGACTAAATAGAGTCCTTAATCAAATTGAAAGGTTTGCCGAATATTTTCCTAGTTTTATCTTTTGCTTTTAATTAAATTTTTTATTATCTATTTTTGTTTGTTTGTTGTGTGATTGTTTGAGATTAAGGCCAGCTTTGAACTTGTGATCCTACCGACTCAGACTCCCAGATGCGGGGACTGCAGGAGTGTACAACCTTGCTCAGCTCTTTTTTTGTTTGTTTGTTTTTAAATACTAAAGATGACTTTCAAAATGGTGCAAAGTAACAGCTAGGAGAAAACTATTAATTTCGTAAGCATTTTTTTTTTTAATTAAGCGGCTGGAACATAGACTGCACCATGTTCCTGATGGTGTTTTTAAATGAGCAGTGGTGTTTCTCAGAGGCAGGGCTCACTTTGCAGATTAAACTCCTTAGGTGCCCTCTTTTGGCCTGGAAAAGGGATAATTAACAAACAGCAAACAGATAAAAGCTCCCCACGCAAAGCTTGAGACAACTAAGGCGATGGCTCTTAAAATTCAAGCTAAATTTAAAAAATCCAAGTATTGTCTGTTCCTCAGTTCTCCTCACTAACATAGCTGAATCACAATACATTGACCCCAAAACTTATCCTTGTGGCTGTGAAATATTTATTTCCATTTGTCTCAGGAGGGATTGGGAGAGTAGCCTCCTTCTTCGGCAGTGTCCTGCTCTCTTCCCTTCTGTGCTTGGGGGAGGTGACTTCCTCTTACTTGATGGAGAGAGATTCAATCTTCATTCTCTTTTTTTTTCTTGTGACCATGACTTTTTAAATTTTTTTTTTATTTATTTTACATACCGACCAGTCTCCCCTCCCTCCTCTCCTCTCATTCAGTCCCCCCATCCGGCCTGCCCCATCCACTCCTTCTCCGTCTCCATTCAGATGGGTAAAGAGCCAGATCATGCACTGAGACCCATTCTTTACACCAGTTCTTCCTGAAGGGAAAGGCCAGGAATTCCAGAGAAAGAAAGTCCCCCCTGATATGCTCAGTGAAAAACACAAGCCAAAAAAAAAAAAAAAAAAAAAAAAAAAAAAAAAAAAAAAAAAGAACTGGAGAGCAACTCCTATTTCTGAGTGGGCTGGCAGATGGCTCAGTGGGGAAGGTGCCTTCCACTGTTGTGAGACCAAGAGTTGCCCCTGGATGAGCAGAAATGTGGGGAACCAGTGTGCGCATGGTGGCAGCTGGCTATGGTGACAGCAGGGGAACCAATGTGCACATGGTGACAGCTGGCTGTGGTGATTGACAACAGGCAAACCAGTGTGATATAGTGAAAACTGGCTCTGGTGACAACAGGATCAGATCCAGGTTTGTGGAGCAAGAAGCTTCTACAATTTGGGGGTCACATTACAAAAATGAATACAAGGCTAATAATGTTAAGTTTCTCCCAGAGAGGATCCCTGGAACGTAAACCCGATTCACTGCCAGGCAAACGGATGGAGCAGGTTCCTTATGGGTTTATGGCTCCTCTTGGACACGGTGCCTTTTCTAAGATGCATCAGCTGGAATTATAATTTATGTCACAACATGAATGCAAGGAGAATACTTTTCACAAGAATCCTCTTACTCACAGGGCAGGGAACTCATTACCAGCTGAGAGCCAAAGCTGTTGGTGATCACATTGTTGGCCTCTCTGGTGCCTAGCTGCAGCTTTATGGTACTGACACCGAGTACAAATGAGAGAAATATGGGAGGATGTGTGTTCAGCTAATGTCTTTGTGAGGTGCTGGGTGCAGTCATACTGCCTAGTGAAGAGCAGCTAAGTCCTCAGCTATGTCTTTCAGAGGTATGTGCCCTAGGGGTGTGGTTCCTTCAGAGACTTTCCCAAAGACAGTTTGGCTCCAAGTTTCCACTGGCTGCTGTTGGGTCATGGGAGTCTCTGAGGTCTAACAAATGTGAGCAGGCAGCAGCTGTTTTCCTGGCCAATCTCAAGTTACCAGCAACTTCCATTTAAGTGGAACTTAGAGGTTACCCAGAGAACAACACGCAACAAAAAGGCAACTCTCAGCAAGGCCAGGTACAGAACACATCGGAGGTCCCAGATCTCCCCAAAAAGCAGGAGGAATCTATTTGTGTGCTTTAATTCAGAAGGAAAGTTGGTTACAGAGACCATCAACACACTAGGGTGGCGAAGCCACCATCATGGAGAGGGCCTTGTCAACATAGAGGGAAAGATATTTCTGTAGTGGGAAAAAATGAAACTATAATGTTTAGTAGGCTATTTTATACAATAGCCTGCCTAACATCTATTGGTCTAAAAGGGGAAAGTAGAATTTATGTTGTTTCATTTGCATAGATTCTGGAAGGTTATGTTGGAACCCAAGGAGAGCAATTGACTCTGATGGGGTGGTATAAAAGGGCAAAGGCTGAGCAGCCTTATATCCTCTGGCACTTTCTTTACATTGGGTTCTCACCAGTGTTCCCATTTCTGGCAAAATTTAACGTGTTCAAGGTCATTTCAATCTGCACGGAATCTTGACAGAGCCTTCCTGTCTCACTGAATTTCACCCCTCATCATCAGCATTAGCTCTGCCATAGGCTGACATTTGTGTGTTAAGGATGAAGTGTGTTTTATACACTAAATGGACAAAGTCACAGGACAGGAGAGTGCTATTTCACAAACACCCCACACAAAAACTATTTAGTTAGTGCTTCTTTATAAACTACATGAACAGGTAAGGAGAGTGGCGTCCACACAAAGTGTTTAAGCAAGCCTTTGGAAACAGTCCCAGGGTGTATATTACTCTCCACAGCTAGCTGATGACTAGCTAGTTTGGAATTCCACTTTTCAGAAGCAACAAGCTGTGAAGTATGAGGGGAGGGAGGCCGAACCCTCTTCTTTTCCATTCTGACTTAATACCGAAGGCAGCCAGTCTCAAGTGACCCAAAACTTGAGTGCCTCATAGTAGACATTCCCTGCAGAATAGACTAAAACCTCTTTCTGGCTTAGTCCTTTTATACTGCTTTAACCAGGAGTTTTTGTTTGTTTGTTTTCTCTGACATGGTGCGTTCTGTGCGGTTCCATGGTCAAGTGTTGTGTATTTTAAACCGGTTTCCGTTGCCAAGTGGTCACATTAGAAGAGCTGTGAATGTTTAGCTGGGAAAGAATAAAGGTGCTAAGTCGAGTAGCACTGGAGGGCAGGGACTGTGGAGCTGCAAAATACCACTTTAACTCAAACTTTATAGAGATATGAACAGCATTGTTGACTGGAAGCCAATCGAGTGTCACTCAGTCATTCGGTCGGCCGGGCAGCACATGCCACAGTGTTTAGTGGCATACCACTCCCCTTGGGACTGGAAGAACTCCTGAAAACCCTCCAGCTCGTGGAGAAACAAACAAGCAAGCAAGAGAGAGAGCTGGCTCAGCCGAGTCTCAGTTGACCCAAGCCGATCTAGTCAGAAAGCACATCCCTTTCCTCATGAAGACAGGAGAGTCCAAGATTCAGAGTTGGAGACAGCCTTCTCTGATCACATAGTCCTGACTGTCAATCAAGATCTGTGTTGAAACAACTGCCTGAAGCCACTTCTGGGCTTTCAAGAGGCAGAAAGGCAGCACTGTGAGTAGGGAGAGGGTCACACAGCACACCTGCCATCCAGCTGTGACTCGGGCTAGAGCAGCCCTCCTCATTTCAGACCTGAGGGAAACAGGACTCTTAAAGCCTCAACTTACTCTCTTCATGTGCACTCATTTAAAATCATCCTTAGCACAAGGTATGCATTTCCCAGAGCTTGACTTCTTTATGAAAAAGTATGAAGGTATAATTTAACTATTTTATCACACAACAATTCTGCTCAGTCATTTTAACCAATGCTCAGCAACTGCAGCATGCCTATGACACGCTCAGGAGTGGGAATAAGAAAAGAAAATGTATATCAAACATACACACAGTTCCTCATCATCAAAGGTCTAGCAACTTAGTAGGAGAGATGCAGACCCAACCATAACTTTTTTATGTAAATTGTATTTAAATTATTTTACATATCAATCCCAGTTCCCTCTCCCTCCCATTTTTCCACACCCCCAAAGATGCCCCCCCAATACCATTCTCCATCTACTCCCCAGGAAGGGTGAGGCTTTCCATGAGGGATCATTAAAATCTGTCAAGTCATTTGAGGCAGGGCCTAGGCTCTCCCCTGTGTATCTAGGCTAAGAGAGTATCCCTTCAAGGGAAATGGGCTCCTGAAGTCCATTTGTGCACTGGGGATACATCCTGGTTCCACTGTCAGAGGCCCCATAGACTTCCCACTGCTCCTAACTGACACCCACATTCAGGGGGCCTGGTTTGGTCCTATGTTGGTTTCCCACCTGTCAGACTGGGGGTCCATGAGTTTCCACTTGCTCAGGTCAGCTGTTTCTGTGGGTTTTCCCTGCATGGTCTTGACCCCTTTGTTCATCACTCCTCCCTCTCGGAAACTGGATTCCAGGAGTTTGGCTCAGTACTTGGCTGAAAAGGACTACCAGCCTACAATCCACACTTCCAGAGAAGCTAGGAAACAAGGAGGACCATAAGAGAGACACACCCAGTCCCACAGTGAAGCAGAAAGGGACAAGGATCTCTGCTTCTGCTTCCATCAGCTACTGGATGAAAGCTCTAGGATGGCATTTAAGGGAGTCATCAGTCTCATTATGGGGAAGAGCATTTAAGGTAGCCTCTCCACTATTGCTTAGGGTCCTAGTTGGGGTCAACCTTGTAGATCTTTGGACATTTCCCTAGTGCCGGATTTCTCTTTAAACCTACAGTGGCTCCCTCTATTGATTTGTCTCTTTGCTTGTTCTCCTCTATTCCCCTCCCCACTCAATCTTCCTGATCCCTCATGTCCTCCCTGCCCCTCCTCTCCCCTCCCCTCTTTCTCCTACATCCCTCCCCCTCCCCCATACTCCCCATTTGTTCAACGGTTCTTGTCCCTTTCTGCTTCACTGTGGGACTGTGTGTGTCTCTCTTATGGTCCTCCTTGTTTCTTAGCTTCTCTGGAAGTGTGGATTGTAGGCTGGTAGTCCTTTTCACTATCCCAATGGTAACTTTTTTAAAAACTCTTTTTTAAAAATATTTTATTTATATTTTCTGTATGAGTGCTCTGCATGTATGTATACCTGAATGCCAGAAGAGGGCATCAGATCTGTTACATATGGTTGTAAGCTACCATGTGGGAATTGAACTCAGGACCTCTGGAAAAGCAGTCAGTCCTCTTAACCCCTGAGCCATCTCTCCAGCCCTCAACCATAACTTTTAAAATTACTTTTATTTAGTGTGTGTGCATGTATGTGTGTGTGTGCTTCTGTGAGGGCATGTGTACCTCATGTGTGGGGACATCAGAGGACAAGTTGGGGGAGTTGGTTCCTCTCCTTCCAACATGTGGGTTCTAGAGATCAAACTCCGGTCATCATTAGGCTTGCTGGCAAGTTCCTTTACCACAGAGCTATCTTACTGTCTCATAACAATAATTTTGATAATTGCTGTATTTAGCAGAGTAACAATGATGATTCAAAGAGATGGGACTAGTTCATAATTTGGAAGACTGGTAAAGAGGAGTACTGAAGACTTGGCATCTGGACTGAGTTTTGACAGCTGAGTTGCAACGTAGCTAGGTGGAAAGGGGGACAGTGATAGCATCAATAGAAACGTCCAGGACCCACATAAATGCCAGGTGGGCATGGTGGCTGGCCTGTAATTTTAGCTTCAGAAGGCAGAGACACGACTCCCCAGAGCAAACTGGCTACTAGACTAGTTGTATTGTTGAGCTCTGGGTTTTTTGATTGAGAGGAAAAGAGTAGAAGAGCAACTGAGGAAAATGGCTGATTTCAACTTCAGGTTTCTATATTCACATGCACCAGAACACACGTATATGTAAACACACAGAGGCATGCTCATGATTCCACACACACACACACACACACACACACACACACACACAAGAAAAGAAGAAAAATGCAGTGTGCCTTAGGAGTTATGTTAGCTCTCCATTTCTGTATCAAAATACCTAAGGATACTTACAAAAAGGAAGATTTACCTAACAGCTTTGGAAGTCCAAACAGCGTGGTGCCAACTCTCAGGAGGGTAGCTCTTCCCAGTGCCACATTGTTGCAAATGGAATCTTGGTAAGCTAGCATGATTACTGTAGTAACTCATTATCTTGGAATTAACAAACATCATACTGCCACCAATGATCCAAGGCCTTCCCAACTAAAGGCTTCACTACCACATAATGCTACAACATTGGGGACCAGCCTTCTAAAACATGAATCTGAGGAGGACGAAGTTAGGGTGGAAGAGTTAACTGAAGTCAGTATCTTTCTCTTTCTTTGTCCCACTTTCCTACCCCAACCTTCCTTGTATCCATTTCAAAAAGTCTAAGGAAATGAAATGCAGCTACGTAGCAAACAACTAAAAAATGGGAATGTCACTTAAGTCAGGAGCCAGGACCTTGGTTCAAATCCTAGCTCTGTGAAGCCTGCCTGTGACCAGGGTGAGTTCCTTGGTCTCTCCATGCCCTCGTCTCTTCCTTGGCATGTGAGGTTAAATAGTGTCATCTCGTTGTTGGTTGTGAGGACCAGATTTACTGATGCTATGTATACTGGGAGTCCTCCCCCACATGTGCTTACTAGTTACAGTAGTTTTACCACAAGGCACTCAAGAGGCTATTGAAAGAGAAGCAAGGGACTCCCTGCTGCTTCCTCCTTTTTAAAAAAAAAAAAAAAAAAAAAAAAAAAAAAGTTTAAGGGATGAGCCTCACGTGGCACCAGAGCACCGGCTATCGAGAACTCAAGAAGACCAGTACCACTTACAAAATGGAAGTCCGTGTCTCCCAGAGAAGCTGTTGTGCATGGGCTGCCTCCTGAGGGAAGCATGCTGCAAACGGGCATGAGACAGCTGGAAGTTTCCTTTCATGGTTTGAAGTTATTCTAAGGCAAAAGCCATGCTTGCTTACGACAAAAAACAAGCCACTTGCGTAGAATGACCTTTCAACACAATGCACTGTTTTTAAGGATAACACGAGAGAATGCTAGTAGGAGGGATATTTTGCTTTGCTCCCACAGAGATGGTCAACAACAAGAACCCTAACACAAAGCTTTCATTCTGTTATGTTAGTAACAGTCAACTTTGTTTTTTTTGGTTGTTGCTGAAGTATAATGTCCATACAAAGAAGTGTATGTTATAATAAAGGGAGAGTTTGGGTGAGTGTTTGTTGGACTGTACACACCTGTGCAACCAGCACCCAATGGAGCCCAAGCATATTCAGTACCCAAGACCCCTCCTTCATGCCCTGTGCCCACCTCAGGAAATCACTGCCCCAATCCCCAGCAGCATCAATGAGTTATTCCGTGTTTCTACTTTGTATAAACCAATTGCTACCCTGTTTACTATTTCATACCTGTAGTTTTTTTCATTATCATTATGTACATGAGATGCATACAGATTGTGACTGGTTCATTTTTCATGTGAATTTTAAGGAAGAGGAGGAAGCCCTTTGAGAAGTTTTATTGTAGTGATAGTGAATTTAATTAAGCTCAGGTAACTTGCATTTTTTTCAATAGATGGAGTTGCTGAACTTAACAGGTATATCTACAAGAACAGTGATTGTGTGTGTGTGTGTGTGTGAGAGAGAGAGAGAGAGAGAGAGAGAGAGAGAGAGAGAGAGAGGGAGAGGGAGAGAGAGAGAGAGAGAGAGAGAAATCATGCAGTTAATTATTCTTTCGTCTTTTCATCTTGTTTCCATTATCTTTCAGGTATAAAAACCAGGTGCCTATAGATGTCCATGCAAACCCAGGAAAGTACATCATTGAAAGTCGATATGGCATGCATACTCTGGAGATCAACAAGTAAGAGAGCATCACTGTGTGTGTGTGTGCCACCCAGAAGTCACCTTATCACTCCAGATCACAGACAGACAAAATCTACCTTCTTCCCGGTCCCGGTTGCAGGTTCATCTCACAGTGGTTGTTCATGCACATTTCTCTTGATGCAAGCATCTAAGTCTGCCATGCCCACAGTATACCTCCTAACTTCAATCTCACATTTGAATTTCATAAAAATGATAAAATGAGTATGTATGTTTTTATTTAACCCCAATATATGAGCATATCCCATAGAAATTACTAAGAAGATAGTAATTGGCCAACAACAAGAACCCTAACACAAAGCTTTCATTCTGCTATGTTGCTTAAGTAGGCATTTCTGAGTTGGTATCATCACAGAATCCCAAACCCACAGTACTGAGTTCTTTTATTTTTAACCAGCAAAAGGCATAGAGGCTGGGATGGGTGTCACTGAGTGCTGGACAGAGTAAGAGAATGTCCTTCCTGCCAGCTCACCAGAAACCATGGGATGTTGTGGGTGAATCAAGGACAGACATTGGGATGTTTCAGGGTTAAGCAAATTTGAAATGGAAGCTCTATTAAAGTTGCCAAGTCATAAAAAGTGTAAAATGTTTTCCAAGTTGGTTTGAAATGCAAACTTGGTTATGTGGATGAAAGAGTAAACAAGGGCCACATGCAGAGCTGTAAAGGAGCTTATGTTGATCATCCTCACAGCTTTCTCCCCAATGGAAGAGTAGTCTCAAGAGATCCTGGGCTTCAGACAGAACCCGGCATCGCTGACATTCTCCAAACCCTCATCTGAAGTCATATCACTTCTGCTGGAGCAGCAGTGAGCCTTGCGGTTGCTTTTAAAATTAAATAGCTCTGAGAAAGGAGATTATATTTATCTTCCTGGAGTCTAATGCCTTTCATTTCTGCAAGACACAAGTGTATCACAAATGAAACTAAACTAAACCCTGGGAAACAAGGAAGAACGTGGGAACTGGCGTGATTAGAGACAAAACAGCCTGACTCTGTGAGAGTATCCTTCCCTTGTTCCATCTCTATAAGACATACCTCTTTCTGTAACTTAAGGAACACCCAGATAGTACTTGTTGTGTTCTACTGTGAGCCGGAGCTCCAAGTGGAACCCAAACACCAGTAGAATCAAAGTATGAAGCCACTTGTGTTTTGAAACTAGAACACGGAAAGGTATATAAGACCAGCCTTGCACAGGTTTGTGCCTCAGAGAGGCTGTGGAAAATTATCATGAGAAGTTGCTTCTTTCTGTTCCCTGTCATCCTGATGCCTGCCACCAGACTGAGGCCCACCTCTTGGGACAGGACAGCATGGGGCATACACACTCAGGGCCATTATCTGCTACAAAGCTACATGAATGGCTGGACATTTTCTTCAGTAGTACAAAGCAGGCATCTGCTGTGTAATTTATAGCCGTCGTACTTGGTTAGCTTTTTGTTTGGCATTTTAAATGAACCAAGGTTAGGGTTCATTCACCCTAACAATCACCAAGGGAAGATAACAGTAGATGTTATCTTCCTGCCCTTCTGCCTTGTGACCTTTAGTAGATAACTTGGACTATATTATGTCCCACAGGAACAGAGATCGTCCCTTCCCTTCATCAAGAGTCCTAAAGAGCCACCTGTGGGCCACTGACTTGCAATCTGCTATGTTAGCAAAGAATTTCTTGATAAGTCAACCAACAGTTACCAGGAGTCACCACCATGGTCACTCATTTCCATGTGTCTCTGCAGGTGTGACTTTGAAGACACGGCTCAGTACCGGGCCTCAGCGATGAACGTTCAAGGAGAGCTCTCAGCATATGCCTCGGTTGTGGTGAAGAGTAGGTTTGCCCTTGCTTTATTCAAAGTGGATTTAAAACTCCTTCCTATGATAAAAACAAAATCAGGCAATTACCAACTAGCTCACATGTGTTCTCTTTTCTTCTCTAGGATACAAGGGGGAATTGGATGAGCTTCGCCTCCATGCAGGAGCGTCCATGCCTCTCAGCTGTAAGTTTAACAGCACGTTCTCTTTATGTAAAGTGTGGCACAGTAATGCTCGGTTCCAAACAATGTTCTGAATCCTAGAGTTCATGGAAGCAACATGATTTTTAAAATGATGAAATAAATTCACAATACTTACGATGCATTAGTACTTGCCAGGATGGGTGTAACACTTACTACCCAGCCATGGTTAATTTGTTTTTTAAATTCTTTGGTTACTATTCTGTTTCCAAGTTTAATAGGTTTATTCTTTCTATTTTAAAAGTAGCCTGTTTGTGTTTGTTAAACTGATCATATGCTCAGACTGAAAAGGACAGTTCAGCCCACACTTACTCTCTACACGTTCAATCATGAATGGTGGTTCTGAAGACACTTAATACCAATCGTTCTTCTGGTTTGGTCTTCCACTTAACTGGTTGATTTGCTGATGTCTGTAGATGACCTACTCCTCAAAGATGACTTCATGAATTGTTCCAAACTTCAAAGTTATAGTCCCTGGTATCAGTCCCATGGAGGAGATAATGGATGGACATGGTCTTATCCCATCCCATCAGTAATTCTGAAATCATGGCATCGTGCCCACAGTCCCCGAGATTGGCCTGATTTATCATTTCCCGATCCTCCAACCTTATCCTGCTCCTTCCTAAGGCCAATTTTCTTTTGTCGCCTTCTCTTTCAAGCCAGGTTCTGAAAGCCCACTTAACTCTGTTTTTTCCAGAGCGTCTTCTGATTTCCTCCTGGATTAATGCATCTGTTCCTAACACACGAAACACAAACACCTCAGTAAGCAGTAGGTAAATGAGTGTGCACAGCTGGACTCCAGTAAAACCATAAATATGGATGGACATTGACATCTGGATTTCCTATGACTTCCCACACATCATAAACATTAGATTTTTATCTTTTTCAACTGTCAAAAAAAATCTAAAAATAAAACCCATCCTGAATGATACAGGAAGCAGTCTGGATTTGGCTCACGGGTTTCCCAGATTCTGCTGTTTCACCAAGATGAAAAACACATGTGACACAGGGCCACAGAAGTGACAGTGGACTGCTTTGTCTCCTGGCTGTCATAACCAACTTCCCACTGAGTACCGAGGCAGTCTCTGGTGTCCAGCTCAATGCTGCATATGGAAAAGTTAAAGCCTGTGCATTTCCAGTTGGTGTTGGACCTCAGGGCAGATAAACAACTTTCTTATAACTCTCCTTTGCCCTCCAAGGCAGCCCCAGATCCACTTGCATATGCTGTGCAGGATCTGATCCAGGGAAATCTCTTGGGTTTCATTGGAATATTATCACATAGAAATTAGGCAGATTGGGAGACGTTCTTCAAAGAAAAGCTATTTCCCCGTTGACTAGTGGTTGTCTGCCAATACACAAATTCAATGTATTGGTTGAAACGAAAGCTCTGGGCAGACATTTAGCCATACCCCGGAGGAGTCCCACGCAACAGTTTCTTCTGTGGAGAACATAATTATACTTACCAGGTAGAATCATCATGGGCATATCTGCACTGATAGCTATTAAATACTTAGGATATCTGACAAAATTGAACTTAATGAAGGATAGGTTGTATTTTTGAGATAGTATTTCAAGGTCTGGGAAAAGAGACAAAACATAACAAGAAAGGACTCAAGCATTAGACTTTGGCAGTTATAGACTTGTGAAGTCATGGCATTAGCTGTCTATGACCTCCATGAGTTTCCCTAATGACTTTGCTATCAAGTTGTTGCAAGGAATAGACTGTGTGTCTCATATGAAGTGCCTGGCACATCAAGTAACCTGTCTATATGTAGCCATTTCTTTCTTAACCCAGGAGAGTTGATCATGATGTAGACATTTGCTAAATCTATAAAAGTACTTCTAAGAATAATCTTTGATAAGTTGTATTTTAAACTTTCAGTATTTTCCTATTGATATTTCTTATAATGCTTTATATAGATCATAAAAGAAAATAAAGTAGCTTTCTGAAAAGCATGTAACTAGTAGAACTGTTATATCCAAAGAGTGTAGTAAAATTTATCTCAAAATCTAAGATTTAAAACCCCATATATTATAACTAAGAAAGCCTAGGCTAGATGATGTTTTAGTTTACATTTAAGACACTACATGTGACGCTATGAATTGTGTTCCTACAATAGAATATAGACATTTAGCTTATATGATCAATGAGGTAAGAGTTTTTATGCAAACAATGTATGCGTACATTCTATGTACTTCTATGTAGAACTCAATTTGGTCTGCTTTTCATTGCAGCAGCTTTCTGCCTGTGCTTACTAGGAATGCTGCCTCCCTTTGAAGAGACACATGACTGGTCTTTGTTTTTGTTGTACCCAGTTGCTGTGACCCCTTACGGTTATGCATCCAAGTTTGAGATCCACTTTGATGACAAGTTTGATGTGTCTTTTGGGAGAGAAGGAGAGACGATGAGTCTGGGCTGTCGTGTAGTCATCACTCCTGAAATTAAACAGTTCCAGCCGGAGGTCCAGTGGTATAGAAACGGCGAGTTTTTCTTACTTTGCTTCTTAATGAAAAATGCATTGTGGGACAGTTGCAGATCTGCTTCTGAGGGCTAGCATAGCCTGTAAGCTGAAGACAGCACTCTGCTGTGCTAAGTTTTTAACATACATTTCAAAATAATGACTGTGTGTGTGTGTGTGTGTGTGTGTGTGTGTGTGTGTGTACCATATATATCTTTTCCCTGAAACAGGGTTTCACTGTGTAGCCCTGGCTGTCCTGGAACTCACTATGTAGAGCAGACTGGCTTCAAACAGAGATGTCTGCCTCTGTCTCACACTGTTGGGATTAAAGGCGTGCACCACTGAACCATGGATGTTTTAAACTGAAAATAGGGTGTCTTAGTTAGGGCTGCTATTGTTGTGATGAAACACTGTGGGGAGAGAAGGTTTATTTGGCCTACACTTCCACTTCACAACATCACTGAAGGAAGTCAGGCGAAGAAGTCAAAAAGGGCAGGAACCTGGAGGCAGGAGCTGACACAGAGGCTATGGAGGGGTGCTGCGTATTAGCTTGCCCCATGTCTAGTTCAGCCTGCTCTCTCTCTCTCTCTCTCTCTCTCTCTCTCTCTCTCTCTCTCTCTCATTTTTCAAGACAGGGTTTCTCTGTGGAGCCTGTCCTGAAACTAGCTCTTTTAGACCAGGCTGGTCTTGAACTCACAGAGATCCACCTGCCTCTGCCTCCCGAGTGCTGGGATTAAAGGCGTGCACCACCACCACCCGGCTTCAGCCTGCTTTCTTATAAAAACCAGAACCACCAACCCAGGAATGGCACCACCCATGATGGGCTGGCCCCTCCCCCATCAATCACTAATTAAGAAAATGCCCTATGCTGAATCTTATGGAGGCATTTTCTCAGTTGAAGCTCCCTCCTTTTGGATGACTCTAGCCTGTGTCAAGTTGACATAAACCAGCTGGCACAGAGGAAAAACTCAACACTTTGAGCTTCTCTGCTCTTTGAACAAGAGCTTTGAATTTTAATTTTGTCAGATGCTAATGTGTCTGCCACGGAGCCCCTCACTTCTGTCTAGTATTTTCCCTAAGATTAAACACACCAGAATGGCTTTAAGATCTAGAGAGTTCTAAGAGCCAAGTGACTTTCAGTGTGGAAGAAAGGAGAGAGGGAGAGGTGTGGAGTGGGGAAGAAAGGGAGCAAAGGGGGGTAAAGCCAATGAATTCGCTTGTTTTTTACACTTGTAGGAGCACCCGTTTCTCCATCGAAATGGGTGCAAACGCAGTGGAGTGGAGACCGGGCAACACTCACCTTCTCTCACCTCAACAAGGAAGATGAAGGCCTCTACACAATCCGCGTGCGAATGGGAGAGTATTATGAACAATACAGTGCTTACGTCTTCGTTCGAGGTAAAACCTGGCAAAAAGCAGAACGCACAACCACATTTGAAACACGGAGGCCACAGTCAGCACTAACATGTCTTAGGAAGGTGACGAGTCATTAAAAACTCCTCCCTGATAACCCAGAGGAGGAATGTGAATTCCTAGTCAAGCTAGACCTGGTAGAAAAGACGATCCCCACAGGCACCAAAGTGCTTGGTCTCTAGGCCCTGTCTGCACTAACAAGAGGATACTGTCTTTGGTGGGACACTAGTGCAGTGAGTGGGGCTTCTAAAGACTCGTCTTTTGGAAAGCTGTGTTAGTTTATTGAAGCTGACATGAAAGAGGCTATGCTATTTGGAGACTTCCTCTTTAATAAACATCCCAGGGAGCAAATGTATTATTCACGCCAGACTCCTTCTCATGGCTTTGATTTGATGGGGAAGGAAACAGGCAGTGGAACTTAATTCTTACACAAACTGCAATTGTTGGGCTGGGTATGTGCAGTGGTGTGTTGCTCCCCATGGGATCCGAGCACTGTCAGCCCACCCTCTATGTTTTCCGGTGTAATAGGCCACAGAGGGGACACAGAATAGTCTTAAGAAAACAGTGTATTCTACTCACGGGAATCAGAAACAGGAGGCTCCTCGGGGCCCTGTGGAAAAGCACCAGGGCCAATGGCTCCAGAGGCCAAAGGCCAGGAACTTGGGAGAACTTGGACTGTGGCCTTCTTTGGAGTCATCCAGAAAGGGAAAGGTGTAGGTTTGGTGGTTAGATTGACTTTGGGGGGCTCTGAGATGTGTTAGACTCTGTAAGTGCCTGGTTAAGAGTAAGGGAAGGTAGGGGTGTGGGAGGCTGATTAAGAAGGCTGCTTCCTGGGCGGTGTGGGCCAGGTGGAGGAGATGCTTGCCTGCATGTCCAGGCCCTGCTGTGGAGATAGATAAGCTGTTGTCGCTAAGCTTCAGACAGCCTGGGAAGGAGCAGTCTCTCTGAGGTCAGAAAGAATAGAGGTCATCAGAATACACAAACAATTAAAAGTACAAACAATATAGATGGCTTACTAATTTCTATCTCTTATGTACTAAGTAGAAGAACTAACCCATAGGCATTTGATGAAGATGGAATTATAGCTGCCAGGCACTTGCCTTTGCAGTAAGAGCAAAGACTCCCACTAGCTCTGCAAATGAGCTCAAGTCTCATGTCTTTATGGATTTTAAAGCACTGTTTTTACCGGGTTCAGGAGATAGCTCAGATGGTAAACTTCTTGCCAAGTGAGCATGAGGACCTGAGTTCAGATCCCCAGAACCCAGGTGATGGGGAGACACTGGTAAGAGGGTCTGTGGGGTTTGCTGCCCCGCCAGTCTTGCTGAATCTGCCAGATGCAGGTTCAGTTAGAGACCTTGTCTCAAAAAGTAGGATGGAGATTGGTCAAGGAAGATGGCCAACATCAGCCTCTGGTCTACATGCTTGCCACACGCACACAACACACACACACACACACACACACACACACACACACACACACACACACACACGCACGCACGCACGCACGCACACACGCACACATACACATACACACACATACACACACATACATACACACACACACACACACACACCACACACACACATATATACACACACACACACACACACACACACACACACACATACACACACACACACACACACACACACCCCACACACACACACACACACACACACAACATGTCTATAACACACACACACACACACACACACACACACACACACACACACACACACACACACACACCATAAAATTTAATTTAAAACAAAAACATTGCACTGTTCTCACCAGGGGGTCTTAGAAGGGCCCACAAACCCCAACAGTAGTTAAGGACACATGTGTTCTGGTGCCTCAGCTAAAATTTAGTTAGGGTTCTGCCTGGGCTGCTGAGATGAGGAAACCACTAAAGACTTCCCCGCCTATGTCTATCAGTTTCTCACTTCCTGGCCATTTGGCTCAGTCTGTCACTTTAGAGGTCAGATGGTGGTCCTGTTGGCTCTGCTCAGTATGATCAAGTAATATCCCAGGTCCCATTATTTCATGCTGTTGTTCCAATTATCATTCCAAGTTAAGAGGGAAAACAGAGAGAAGTGGAGCTGGTGGGACAGGCCTTCTCACTTCTGTTTGGTGAGCAAATATCTTGTATATTCCACGTACAGCACTCACCAAGGAAGGACCATTTGTTCCCCGCCAACGCTTACTGCTCATAACACCCAACAGAAGCAGGAAGAAGGAGTTCTGGGACACTCAATATGCTGTATCAAATCCCTATTGAACAATGGCAAATGCTCACTAGGTTCCGTCATGAACCAGAAACTGATAAAAGATGTATGAACATCTGTAACATCTGGGAAACGTGTCAGAGTGTCTGCTCCACAGAAGCATTGTGGGCAAAGTCAGGTATTGCTGAGGGAATGGAGGAGGCAGCCTTCATAAAGGTTGCTATGGAAACAGGGTCACTGGGACTCATCTGGAAGTTAGGTTAGCCAAACAACCTGGATCAGCTTAGCTAGATAATGACTGGATATGCAAAGTCTTCCCTTCCCCTCTTAGAGCCTCTCTCAACCAACTGGAGAATGTCTCTACTTAAGTTTTGGGAACCCTGGCCTGGCGGGTTGCTCGGCATTTGTCACGACCCTGCTACAACTGTGTCTCTGCCAGATTTGGACGAGACGTCACATGACTGACTCCAGATGCAGAGAGCTTCAGCGGCCAACATTTAAATTCCACATATCAGTTCTCATAATCCATGAATTAAGGAAATGGAAAGATCCTAAAATGGATCCCATGTTAATATGAAAGGATTGAGTAGGTAACTGAAAAAGATAAAAAATGAAGATTTCAGCAATTGCACTGTGAGCTTGACAACTTTTAGAAAAGTTTATTTTTCATTTTTCATGTTACTACTGCTGTTGCACTGTTGTAAAGCTCAGGGACTTGCATGTGCAGAGTAAACACTCTGCCACTCGGCTTCATCCTTTATTCATCGGAAATAATGTATTTTAGAGTCTTAAAGGCATCTCTATTTAGGTATAAACACACATAAAGTTCTCTCACATTAGCTGCACCCTTGAATGTTTGTAAATACATTTGCAGAGTTAAGTAGTCATCATCCATAGTTTCCTTCTCTAATATTTCTGTCACTCCGAGTTTCCTGAATCACTCTTATGCCCATTCACGGCTTTTGTGGCCACAATTTGCTCTCCGTGTCTACAAATTTTCTTTCTGGACATCAGTGTTCTTCTGAGTCTGCCTTCCTTCAGTCAGCACTTTGAGGTTCACTTATGTCATAATACATATGGTAGCTTGTTCCTTTTTGTTGCTTGACTAGTATTCCCATGTATAGATGTGCCTCATGCTGTCTATATATCTACTAGTTGATAGGCAACCAACAGGATTGTCTCCACTGTTTAGTGTTTTTAATTTGCTAGCACTATCAATATTCATGCTCGTATTTATGGGACAGTTTTTCATTTGTCTTTAATACATACCCATGTGTTGAATTGTTGGATCATATGACACATTCATATGATCTATTTCAGAACGACAAAACATTTCCAATGATATTTTATATGTTTTTAAACTTTTCTCATGGAGGTGTGAGGTGCTATTAAAAGGCATTCTTTTTGGGGTTCTGGTATTTTTTTTTACTGCATGCAAGGTAGCTTCTGTATCAACACAGTTGGTAGGTAAAGCACCATGTTCTGTAGAAACACTGCAGAGCTGAACACATTTGGACAGGTTTTTATTACCCAGATAATATGTTAATTGTAAAAATATAGGTGTTATAAACAAACAATAAAAAGAGAAGAAACACTTATAAATTGTCATCAGAAATACACAATGTCAATATTTGTTACATACTCTGTTCTACCTGAATCCCTCCCCTACACACACACACACACACACACACACACACACACACGAGAGAGAGAGAGAGAGAGAGAGAGAGAGAGAGAGAGAGAGAGACAGAGACAGAGAGAGACAGAGACAGAGAGAGACAGAGAGAGAGACAGAGAAATCATAAAGTTATAGAGTATGAGACAGAAATATCATGAAGGAAGATTGCCATTTCAAATGGCAATCAAATACATGAAAAAAATGTTGCTAGTAACCAAAGCATTCTAAATTGCAGACAGGTGATGCTTTATCTACCATACTGCAAAGACAGCAAGATTTTAAAACTCCCTATGGGGGCTGGGGAAATAGCTCAGTGCCTGCTGCATACACATTCAACCCCAGCACCCATGTAAAAGCCAAGTGCAGCAGCATACATCCGTAACCTAAGCGTTGAAGGGCAGAGGCCTGAGGGCTGGGGCAGAGGCAGAGGCAGAGACAGGTGGACCCCTGAAACTCTAGCTTCAGAGACAGACGGCCGCCAGCCAGTGTAGACTCCTGGTTTAGTGAGACACTGCCCCAAAAAGCAAGGTGGAGAGCAACTGAAGAAGACACCACCCCTTGAATTCTGGTGTCCATACATGTATACACATATGAATGCCTGCACACATAGACACATGCACACCACCATACATCATACACACACTTAGTAAAAACAACTCTACCGGGGTAGGAGGATGAAGGAACAGGATCTTCAGAGTTTCTTGGGGTGTTTTGCAGCTGTGTATTTAGAGCACATAGTCCAATGCCTCCAGTTCCAGGACAAAGTAGAAAAAGGTGAAGACAAATATTACAGAAAACTGGAGATATCCAGTTGTTCACCAATATGAGAAAATAAAATGTATATATATATATATATATATATATATATATATTTAATAAGGAGGCATAAATATATAGGAATAATATAAAAAGTTCATGCTCTACATAAACAACAAAGTACTATATAGCAATGAAAACTAATGATGTGTACCTATACTTACTGAAATGTATCAAGAAAAAAAAGGCAGTTTTCATAAAGACCATGACCCAGGCTTATTTAAAAAGCAATCATATTTAGCCAGGTGTGGTCACATATGACTGTAATCCTCAAACAGGAGAGATGAAGCGGGAAGACCACCATGAGTTCAAGGCCAGCCTAAGCTATATAACAAAACACATCTCAAAAAAAAATCATCTTTTAGTTTATAAATATAAAAATAAAACAGATCCCTCTGAATGTGGGTGCCAGCTAGGAGGCCAAGACAGTCTGTGGGACCTCTAACAGTGGAGACAGTCTTTAACCCTAGAGCACGAATGGACTTTGGGAGCCCATTCCCTATGGAGGGAGACTATTGCAGCCCAGATACAGCAAGGAGGGCCTAGGCCCTCCCACAAACGATATGACAGACTTTGAAGGTTCCTGGTGGAGGGCCTCACTATCCCTGGGGAGGAGTTGGGGGGTGGCTTGGGGGATTGGTGGGGAACATGGGAGGATGGGAGGGTGAGGGAATGGGGGGATGGATATGTAAATATGAGTAGTAATTAAAGAATTTAAATTAAAAAATTCATTATAAAAAAAAACAAATCTAGAAAGGCCTAGGCCAATATGTCAGTCATCAATTATTTTGAGTTATAGAGTCAAAAGGAGATTCTAACTTTCCTGGTTATCATTGATTTGATAGTCATGTGGTACCTTTATAATAAGTATAAACAATAAAAAAACATTTTGGAAAAGGTTATTCTTTGCCTGTGTCTGAGGCCAAACTGTAAGGAGTAGCAGGCTCATCTTTGACCCAGCTTATCGGCCTACACGAAGTTCAGCTATTTGGAGGTTGGGAGGGAGAAAGACAGATGCTCAGGAGAGGTAAATGTTGGCTGAGTGAGCATGAGGCCAGACAGTACAGCAGCAGCTGCTGGAAACCAGGCATGTGTGAGCGTACTCCCCGGCTGTGTTGCTGACATTCCCAGCATACTTGGCTCCCCACAGTGTGCTGCACCTTCTTGAGAGCAAGAAACATATTTATTTTTAACTTTTGTGTTTAGTACTGTCTTAGTTAGGGTTTCTATTTCTGTGATGAAGCGCCATGACCCAAAAGCAACACAGAATTTATTTTAACTTACAACTTACAAATCCATCGGAACATGAAGGGAGGAGCTGATACAGAGGCATGGAGGAGAGCTGTTTACTGACTTGCTCCTCTTGGCTTGCTCAGCCTGCTTTCTTGTAGAGCCCAGAACCACCAACCCAGGGATAACTCCACCCACAATGGGCGGGGCCCTCCCTTTCAATCACTCATTAAGAAAATGCACCAGGGACTGGCCAATCTAGTAGAGGCATTTTTTCTCAATTGAGAGTCCCTCTTCCGAATGACTCCAGCTTGTATCAAGCTGACATAAAACTAGCCAGGACAAGCACCTAGACAGTTTTAAACGAACCTAGGGAACCAACTTTGACACAATACCCACACCCAAGTTTAGTAGAAATCTAAGATAATACAGGAAGACATTTGTTGTTCACAGCTAAATTAGTGGTTGCTCTTGTGGTATTTTGAATTAGGAGCTACTAAAGTGAACCTTTGCTTTTCTGGGACAGCAAATGCTGGGTCAGCTGGGCCTGAAGAATCAGCTATGATTAAGACGAGACCTGTGTCATTGTGGCAGAATTTTCTGGGAAGTGTTTCCTCAGCGTCAGCACATGGAGGCTGTGGTCCTCAGGTGGTCATGAGTGGATGAACAAATGAATTAGTGCCTAAATAACTCAGTAGATCATCAACCCGTCCCCTGAGCGACATCTTGCCAACTGTGTTACAAAAATGCTGACTCATGGCTCTCTGGACACCTCTTGTCTGTCTTCCATGGTCTGCTACAGTGTGCCCCTGCTTTGTATCACACACCAAATACAGTGGCTGTTCAGCTAACTGGACTCCACTCTGTCAGCATGGGAATTACTCCATCAGTGTGTGGATGTGGAGTCGGAGCCTTTAGCACAAGGATGTGCTGTTGTCATCAGCTGTCCCCCTAGAGATAGGCGCCTCTTCTGGTACCAGGCATACCAGGGTCAGCATCACTTACCCTGCTCTTCCTTCTGTCAGCAACGTCACTGTCCCTACCCTGCTCACAAAGCCCGTGAGGAGGGAGAAGTGCTTCCAGGAAAGCCCTCGTTCCCTGTTGCATAGCATGCAGGGATTCTAAATCCAGCCTTGACCATGATTTGCTGGTGTCTTTCTCCTTTAGCATGTCTGCCGGAGACATTTGCCCAGAGAACATGCCCTGGTGGTTTATGGGACATGAAAATGAATGTCCAAAATCCAAGAATCTGAGCTCTTGACAAGTAATGCAGACCTACTAACATAAAACCCAGAAGTCTGCCAATGTTTCTGTCATCATATAAAATACCTTTGTAACTCAAGAGAGCTTCAGAAGTGTAGCTCATAGGAAAAGATGGTTTGTTCTGTTGTCAGGAGTGTTTTCTCCTGGGTAAGTGGCTCCTATGTGTCCCTGGCTGTCCTAAATAATTCTGTTTATGAAAGGGCTGCTCACATGCCCGGTTGGAAGAACTGGGAGTGTGGGCCCCTCCCCCAGACTTATCGTTGACTTTAATCATTCTCACTTAAAGGGTTATTGATGGTATATTTTATTTCATTTCCTTCTGATTCATTAATTAGCTATGCCTGGGGAGTTATAGGCGGGCTCACAGTCTGGGATCTTACTTCATAAATGGTCAGTGCCCTATTTCCTGTGTTATTGCAGACTTTTACAAAACTCAAATGTGGATACTGTGTCAGAGTTCTTTTCCTAAGTGTCCCCGGTTTTGGAACAGTTATTAGTTGTACTGATTTTTGTTGGTTTGTTTTGTTTTCATTTTTGGTCTTCTGTCAGGCTCTGCTACAGGATTAACTTTAGTTGACAGTATCAAATGTTTCAGCCCATGGTAGGCTCCATATTCCAGGCCTGTGGTGAGACACGTGTGTGGCAGACTGGGTGGAACAGACTTGTATAACTCATGTCAGCTTGGAAGAAGGGGGTGGCAGCAAGAAGGAGCCAAGACAAGACATACCCTTTAAACATGTGTCCCACTGACCTGCTTCATCCAGCCAGCCAATCCCACCTTCCACAGTCCCCCTACTCACCAAACATGTATTCAGTTATTTAATTAGCACTGTGTTAAACCATTGATTAGGCTGGAGCTGTCTTGACCTAATGGTCTTGGGGACACATGCTTAGACATACTCAGATGCACTTTAACAATCTCCTTCATGTCTCTCTATCCAATCAAACAGACATCAGTAACCATCACATTTGGCCAAAGCAGGTTTTTCTTCTTCAAAGGGCAATGCCCACTTAATAAGCTTCATGGTTTTTATTCTTGTACGTGCATTCAGGTAACATGAGGCAGGGGATGTTGTCTCTTTGGGAGCCTGCCAGAGATTTAGTACCATTGCCCAACCAATGTCTTAAGAACAGACTTTCTGGCATGAGTCACCAATTTGATATCTCCCCATCAATATTTTTGGAATACTTAGGGAAGCAAGGGTGAGGAGACAAATCCATGGAGCCTTCTCAGAACGCTTTTTATTATCTATCATAATGCTCTTCCCCTAAAAGTTGAAAAGCGCACCTTGTTATATTGATAAACAAATAAGAAGATTTGAAGCTTGCTCTATGAAGCCAAATATGTAGCTACTGTGATCTGTTGGAAATGTGTGCATCATGGCCAAGCTGGCAGAGGCCGAATGCGTTTAACAGGAAACATTTGTTTCCACAGATGCCGATGCAGAGATTGAAGGAGCCCCTGCAGCACCCTTGGATGTGGTGTCTTTGGATGCTAACAAGGATTACATCACTATCTCTTGGAAGCAGCCAGCTGTGGATGGAGGGAGCCCTATCCTGGGATACTTTATTGATAAGTAAGTGCTTGGCCTAACCTCAGTCAGAGTTCTGTGGGCATACAGGTGTGCACTTGATTCCTCCCTTGATTTCTAAGCTAAGTGCTTTCTCTTCTGGTTTTTGTCTCCTATCCCTTTCTTTCTCCATATGTGTTTATATAACATATATATATATATACACTTGTTTACATAAATTCCAATGCAGAAATGAAATAACTGATATTCAATATACTTAACATCTGTATTCCTAGTATGGCAGTTATTTAAGAGTACCGATTTTAGGAGCACAAATGCATTCCTCACACCATACAACATGGCTTCAAGTTATCCATGTTATACAAGAAACAGTAACAAAAATTCTTCTTTTAAAAGAAAATGCCTAAAGAAGACAAGGAAACCACTAACAGTGTAATTAAACATGCCAGTAGGAAGATGAGTGAGGGATCCTCCTGTGGACCCTCTCTGTGGTTAAAGCCCTGACTGCACTTCCAGAGGACCCGGGTTCAAGTCCTAGCACCCACATGGCCGCTCACAGCTGTCTGTAACTCCAGTACAAGGGACCCAACAATGTTGTTTGTCGTTGGTAGGCACCACACACACACAAGAAGTGCACAGACATACATGTGGGCCGGACATCCCTACACATTATAAAAAAACAAAACAAAAAAGATTCTGGATACCTGCATGATTTTCTTACCCTCCTCTCTACGTCCTCTTCTTGACACACAAGGCCCCCCAGCTGCTTGTCCAGGGAAGGTCTGAGGCTTTGTTCTTCATGTTAAAAAAGACAAATTGTTGGCTGGTAAGATGTCTTAGGGAGTAAAGGTGGACGCTCATACCCCACATGATAGAAGAGAAACATCCCCCCTAATTTTAAAAGAAAAATGTAAAGGACACATTGGACTTGGGTGGAACGGAGTGTCTGCAGTCTAGACCTAACAAGCCGTGCAGGTGTTGCACGTTTTGACCCAGAGCTAAAGTGACAGGTGAATTTGCTCCTTGGACCTCTGCACTTAGCCACACTCGGCACCTTCTGCCAATTCCTCTTCCCCTCAGGTGTGAGGTGGGCACAGAGAGCTGGTCTCAGTGCAACGATACACCTGTGAAGTTTGCTCGGTTTCCAGTCACTGGTTTGATAGAAGGTCGTTCCTACATATTCCGCGTTCGAGCTGTGAATAAAACTGGAATAGGCCTGCCATCTCGAGTTTCTGAGCCCGTGGCTGCTCTGGATCCAGCTGAGAAAGCTAGACTTAAAAGTAAGCCCTCTTCATTTCTCTTTATCTTCCCTGAGCCTTAAAACAGCAACACTGCAACTCTACTTCTGTCCAGTAGAGGGAGGCAAGAATAAACCATCCCTGTGATCAGAAAATCCTGTGGTTTAGTTGGTGAGTCCAGGAACCTAAAATATATTTGCTCTTGATTCATTGGGGTGAGGGGGAGGGCTTTTAATAAACACCAGTTTATCTTATCTTTTAAAAAATCACTCAGAAAAGTGTATCTTCATTTCTAGGTATGGAATGAAATATAGGAACAAATAGCCTAAGGTCATTTTTATTCACATTATCAGTGTATTCCAAATATATCTGAATTTATGGTTCAGAGTGAATTTCCTGACCCTGAAGTCTCTGTCCAAGCATTGCTATCCAACCCCTGTGAGCGTCTCCATGTTGGTTAAAAAACAAATTTACATCTGATCCAAATTTGGGTTTTCATTTATGGGATATAAAATAATCTTGAACTGTCAAGATGGTTCAGCAGGTATCCTGCTGCCCCGCCTATCTGAGTTCAATGTCTCCCTCCCCACATGGTAGAGGGAGAGTGTGAACTGCTACAGCTGCCCTCTGACCTCCATGTGTACTCTGTGGCTTATGTGTAGTCACATGCTCCCACACACACCGTGTGCACGCACACACACACCGTGTACACCCACACGCACACACACACACACACAGTGTGCACCCACACACACCGTGTGCACACACACACACAGTGTGCACACACACACACACACTGTGTGCACACACACACATACAGTGTGCACCCACACACACCGTGTGCACACACACACACTGTGCGCACACACACACTCACAGTGTGCACCCACACACACACACCGTGTGCACCCACACATGCACAGTGCGCACACACACACACACACACCATGTGCACACACACACACACAGTGTGCACCCACACACGCACAGTGCGCACACACACACACACACACACACAACTAAAATATAATCTAAAAAATCTTTAAAATAGTTATAATTTTATCTGTTTACCTTCTGAGCCTGAATGGCAAAGCCAAGGTACATAAATTATGCCTTCAACGGGAACCCGTATTATGTCATCCCCAACACAAGGAATCATAAAATGATATCATAAGAATCCCTAGTTATTGGCATTTCATGCTGTCCCAGGAGCCCTTGTCACACGTCAGGCCAGCAGCTGTTAGCTGAGGGAATAAGCACCTGGGAGGCTTACGGACAGACCTCGCCTCTGCCTACTTCATGCCAGTTGTAATAAAAAATGTTTCTGGATGCTGTCATATATCCAGGGAGTAGGAGATAACTCATGTGGAGGATTACAGGTCCATTCCGAGTTTATGGTTTTATTCTTTACCTCAGTGACTTTCAGTGTCATCACAAAACTCCAGGAAAACAGCGTTGCATTCAGACTCACCTCCTTGTGAGATTAGTCAGTTTTGTCTCATGTTTTCTTCTATTCCCCTTTTATGAATTCCAGTAAAAATAAGATTTTTGTGACTGAGAAACACATCGTCTTCTTTACTACCTTCCTGTTTCCTGTAGACTCCGATGAAAAGTCCCCAAGTAAAGCAAGATAGAACCATCTTTCTTTCCTAGACAATCTACCTTCTCTCCCTCCCTCCCTCCCTCCCTCCTTCTCTCTCTCTTAACTATCATTATCTATTATCTATCTATTGTCTATTATCTATCATCTATCTATGTATGTGTGTGTGCGCATGAGAGAGAGAGAGAGAGAGAGAGAGAGAGAGAGAGAGAGAGAGAGAGAGAGAGAGAGAGAGAGTGAGTTCGGGCATGCATGCCACAGGGCTCATGTGGAAGCCAGAGGACAACCTACCATCAGGAATTGGTTGTCTCCGTCCACTGTGTGGGTCTCAGGGATTGAACTTAGGTCATCAGGCTCAGCGGCAGGCACCTTTACCTTCAGAGCCACCTTTCCCACCCCACCCACCATTCTCCTTTTCATGCTTTTAGGGCCACAGGATGGAGCTCTTCTTTAAATTACACCTTTCTCTTCCATCTCCCTTACATGATCTAAGCTGATTTCCCATGACCAACACTTTCCAAAACATAACAGGAAAGGTTTGCTCAGTTAGCTCTCCTGCCTAATCTGTCTCTTGTCTCCTCTGACCTCCATGATGACAGACAGAGAACTACTGGGCTTATGACCGACCTTCTTGTCTCAGAAGAAGGCCTGGGAAAGCCTACATGTTTGGGGGCCGTGTGCTGAGCACAGGTTGCTCAGTTATCCTGTATAAGTAGAACTGCAGAAAATTCAACTCAGTCCAGGGAGACTCTAGGTCCTGGCAGGGGCCGTGTTTCCCATATACTGTTTACATGGTGACAAAGATGCATCAGGAAGACAAGTAAGAGAACTGGAACCCATTCGACTAACCCATCCAGTTTATTGGTTTACCAAAGAGTCTGTGAACATGCAACTCTTACACTTGTCCTGTCAGGTCGTCCTTCAGCACCCTGGACTGGACAGATCATTGTCACTGAAGAGGAACCTACAGGTAAGAACTCTGGCCTCTCAGATACCACTGCTGATGTCTTGCTGTGCAATTTAGCTTTGCTTGTGAAAGCATACATTACTGTTTGTGAAGCGTTGGGAAGGGACAGTAGCTGAAATAACTTATCAAAGAACCATGTGTGTGGCTGAGGATTGAGCCCAGGGCCTTGTGCAGGCCAACAATGTGCTTTATGTTTTGAACTATACTTCCAGGTCCCAAAGAGTCATGTTTAATTTTATTTATTTATTTTGGTTTTTCAAGATAGGGTTTCTCTGTGTAGCTTTGGAGCCTGTCCTGGCACTCGCTCTGTAGACCAGGCTGGCTTCGAACTCACAGAGATCTGCCTGCCTTTGCCTCCCGAGTGCTGGGAGTAGAGGCGTGCGCCACCAACGCCCAGCTCATGTTTAATTTTAAAGACATATTGTGGTGCAGCTGTCATAGGTGAACTGTGCATATATATGTCGGCGCACAATTTGATAAGCTATATGTGTGTGCACATGAGACCTAACCACTGTGATCAAAACAGCAAACATGCCCCCACTCCTAAGACCCTGTCATGTTCTTCCCGTGGTTCCTCTCTTCCACCCCTCCCCATCTCCAGGTCATCTCTGGCCTGCTTGCTGACACTACAGTTTGTCTTGTCCACGTTTCATAAATAGGTTTGTACTTATCTTTGTCTGTTTTTGTAGTTGGTGTTTCTGTTCTGCCTGGACCTGCAGCCAATTAGCCCCAAAGAAACACACAAAGACTTATATTAATTTATAAACTGTTTGGCCGATGACTTAGGCATCTTACTGGTTAGCTCTCTCTTAGTTATTAACCCATTTCTATTAATCTAAGTATTTCCACATGGTCTTATCTTACCAGAGAAGGGTCCAGACCTGTTACTCCTTCCTCAGCTACGTGGTGTCTCCCTGGTGGCTTCCCCGACCCCCCTCCAGTCCTCTCCCCAGAATTCTCCTCATCTGGTAGCCCCACCTATCCTTCCTGCCTGGCTACTGGCCAATCAGTGTTTTAGTCATCAGCCAATAAGAGAAACATATATACAGAAGAACACCCCATCAAGTCTTATCAGCACACTTATTCTGTGGTTTACTCATGTAGATACTTGTATTGATTAATAACGATTCATCCGTACTTTTTTTTTAAAGTTTCTGTAAGTTTGTGTAGATGCATGCATATTTTTATTTATTACACCAGTTTTCTTTTTCTTATTTTCTCTTTTCTTTGGACTTGAACATTTTTAAGTATCCCATTTGATTTTCATCATATCATTAGTCATCCTTCTTTGTTTCAGGTTTTAATATTTGATATTTACGATGTGCGTCTTTTCTCAGCCCACCTTTCCCCTTCCTCCATGCTGTATCATGCACACATATTGTGCACATTGTATTTGTGCATAGATCATAAGCTGTACAGTATATTATGCTGACCTCGAACAGTCATCTATCTTTCAAAGAGATTAAAAGTTAGAAAAGGTTTTGTTTTAAAAAACATCATTTTAGAGATTTATTCATGTTTACTTTGTGTATATGAGGGTTTTGCCTGCTACATGTAAGTGTACTTTGTGTGTGGCTGGTACGGCCAGACAGAGAGGGCACTGGATCCCCTAGAACTGCAGTTGGAGCAGTGTTCTTAACCACTGAGACACCTCTCCAGCCCTCTGAAAGAAAAGTTTTCTGTATTCACTCACATTTTTCTTTCCCTCCCTCCCTCCTTTCCTCCCTCCCTCCCTCCCTTCCTCCTCTTTCCTTCCATGCATGATCTCACAGGCATGTGCCACCATGTCCGTTTTTTTCTTTTCGTTATCCAGATTCAGGGGTTCTATTTGATCAGATTTTCTTTCATCCTTTAACTTTTCTTAGTGCAAACTTCTGGTTACCAGTTGTTTTACCTTTTGTGTGTCTGAAAAGGTCTTGGTTTAACCTTTACTCTTATAATATACCTTCCCTGAATATAGAATTCTAGCTTGACAGTTTTCATCAGGACTTAGAAGAACTGAGTCCAGTCAAGAGGCAGTGACAATGGCTCGAGAGCCATGGGTCAGATGCCAAGTGTCTATGAGGAGGACTTGTGTCAGAGGAGTGCATGGAGGTTTTGCAGCTCTTTGAAACACTGCGTGGACTAGATAACAAGCTTTTAAAAACCATCTCAGTGCATCAGGGACAGCTAGAGCAAAGATAAATGAAAAACTAAAAAGTAATGAAGGTGACATTTAGCCTAAGAAAGCAGAAGAGTTGGTGAGAGCAGCTTCTGTTGCTCAGAATGTAGCATACAGGGTAACCACTCTGAGCTCAATGCACTGAAACTGGTCTCCGAAAATGTTTCTAGGACATATGCCATATTATGATGCTCCAACTCAGGAACAGTAAGTCTCGTAGGATAAAACGAGTCTTTGCACATTTTAACTTTAAACTTAAAACTCTGGCAAAGGTCCTAGAACTTCTATGGAGTTGGTTTGTTGAAAATGAATGAATACAAGAGCAGCTTCATAATTTCCCCTGAGGGGAGCGCTGCTGAGAGCTGCAGAGCCTGTGTTAAAGGCCTTAGGTAAGACTGTTCATTCTCACTGGAAACCTTTATACAGTGATGCACATGCTTACTTAGGGAGTAAGTAAGTAAGATTCCCTCCTCTTTCCTGCTGATAGGGATTTGGTTGTAACAATGCCATCTGAAAAGGAACGTCTTGACAGGTTGGTGAGTTTTCTTCCCATGGGAAACACAATGGCTCAATATAAATTACTAGATTAAATTGATGTCAAGGCACTCAGATATTGAATTGGTCAGAAGCAAACAGTTTTTGACAGCCCGCCACAGAGGGTAGCCTTTGTCTCCCAGAACACTGTAGTTATTTCTGCAGCTAACAAGTAATCAAGTAGTTTCTTTTAGTGACAGGGTACTTCTCTGTGTCTTTATAGACACTTTAAATTAGTCTTCTTTGGATAGATGAATGAACTATCAGATCACTTGGGGTCACTATGGAATAAAGACATCCTGACTTAAGGAAACAGTTGCCATTCATGAGGCTATAAATAGTTTTTATAGAGTTATTTATGTTTAGATAATAATTAGATTATTTTAAGAAATATAATAGACAGTTGCATTCTTCTCATTGTAATCAACAAAATGTCAGTAAATTCTTCTGTACCTCCCATCCATGCAGGATTGGCAGTATCACAAAGGGGCTTGGAATCCTAACATCTATTTAATGGAGCATTGAGAGAGAGAGAGAGAGAGAGAGAGAGAGAGAGAGAGAGAGAG